TTTGCGAAGACAATGGTCATAAATTTCAACGTTTTTTTCGTTGACGATTCGGACTGACCCGAATCGGTCGTTTGCGACATGTCGCGCCAAGCCGCGAGGCCGGTGCTGGCGGTGACGGCGGTAGTGGCGGTGCTGGTGGCGGTGGCGGTAGGGGCGAATTTTTTTTTCGGCTCGTGAAATCGCACTAAAAAAGGGACGCTGGGCCAGGCACGATCGCACAAAAACCATCTCCTCCGGCGCGGGGCGATAGGTGGTACCATCAGGCGAAAAAATTGCGAAAAAAAACATCTCGAACTGCCATTTTCCATCGTCCACAAACGGCTGCGAGTGTGTGCGTGTGTACGATCGCTCTTTGTCTGGTCATTTGAACATCTGAGAAAAGAAGTGCAAACTGCTAAAAAAGCGCTGCATCTCCTTCTCAGCAGCAACATCTTCGGCCGCTCCATTTCAAATTGCGCCCCGTTTTTTTCCGCACATGAGAATTGCGAACTGAGAAGACAAACTGCAAATCGCTTGCGCGCAGCGATCCAAACGTGCTGAAGACGAACTTCTATGGATCATAGCCCCGTGTGTGCGTAAAATGATATAGTCGAGCGGCGTGACCGGGCCATTTAGAAGCTCCTCTTTCGCGCTGAGCGAATCGTGGACCCGCGGGGCCCCGTGCGCGCTCCTCACCTCTTCGTCGGCCCCGAACTGTACGCTCTATGTGTGTGTTTATTCTCTCCACACACGACATTCGCATAGGCACGATTCACAACCCCCGAAAAGCTAAAAATAATATTGTGGACTCTCGGTGTGGGAAAATCGCACGCTTAGAACAACGCGAACATGCGCGCATTTTCTTTTCGGACATGATCTTTTGGTCAGGAAAATTCCTCTTACCTACTGGAGAACTACGAAAAAAGAAATTATCATCGAGCTGTCAAAAAACCCTTTCCAAAAAAAATTATTCGAGTAACGACGACGAAGATAGCAAGAAGCTACGAGATTTTAGTGACAGAGGATTTTTAAAGGACAGGCCTTTTAGTCCATGGCCCAAATTTTCGGATAAACTTAGTTGAATAGAAGTTTTACGAGTATATTATGAAAAAAGTAACTACCTGTTCCATAAAAAAAGAGAACTATAATCTTTTTCAATATTTTTTTATTTCTATAAATGATGTGAATTTTTATATAATATAAAATTTTATAGAGATGTATTATATATTCTCGTGTTATGACATTTACGGGTTAAATTGTATAATTTACCATGCGCACTTATTAATTTACTCATTTAATCAGTTAATTATTCAATTTTTTCATATTAAACATAGTCTGAGGTTCCCCTCACACTCTCAATACGTAGTTTCTATCCCCTAAGTTTTCTTCTATCAAGAGTTGTTCAATAATCTTCTCCAATAACAATGAATGGCTTGGTGATTGGGCTGAGGTACACCATAAGATGCAACTCAAGTTTTTTTGAATCTTACAATATCAGGAAAGATCTTCAAAATATTTTAAGCGTTTTTTTTTCAATGGAATCTTTGATTTCTATGGCCAAAATCTTTCGCTGTTAGGGTTGTTTATTTCTCGTTAGAAGAACAAGGAAACTAACATTTATAATCATAATCCTCGGCAGCAGTGCAATTTGCTCTCGAAATAATCATTTTTTTTAATTTGGGATATAGAAGGTAGATTCTGTTATAAATTAACATTTATAAATCAGCCAAGAATCTCTACCGCTCGATTTATAATGCTACTAGATGCTTTGAAATATGAATTGGGTCTATTGCCGCATGACTGTTGTATTTTTGTTCTCTTTTTTTCCTTTTTCGATTCTTTTCCTTTATTTTGATTTGTTGATTAGCCTGCCAAACCTTTTTTGTTTCTTTTGATCGCCGAGGAGCCTTGTGCACTGTATAAATGAATATTTAAATTCATAGATTATACGACTCGCTATGAATGACGTCCCTCTAATCCTTAAGCTAGGTGTCAAAATTAATATTCAAAAGGACAAAAACTAAATATGAAAACCAGTGCTCGAAGACGGCGACTGGAAACATATTTTCCTTGAATCGAAAATTATTAAAATTCTTTCTTCTGGCAGTCATAGCTCAAAAAATGTGATCTACTAGTCTGGGTGAAAGAAATAAATCTATGACCTTATAGACTTGCCTACTGATATCAGGCTTGAATGAAAATCTGACAATTCAAAAAAAAATTTTTTTTTGAATTTCACTGAACTCATTAACCTAGTACGAATAGTTTTCAATATCGTACTCCTGTACTCTCTTTTATATGTTAGCAATCTCATCACCACAGTTTTTATGCAGCGCTCGTCACATTTTCGCCATCTCTCACTCGAGACGCTGCGGCTCAGGTCAAACGGCAAAGAACGTTCGCCAGGTAACGTTATCGTTCGTTATCTGCTTGTAACAGTTGACCGCCGTGTGAAAATCGTACCGAGGCGATGTTTTCGGGTCCAACTTCAGTGGTGGCACAAGGATGGGTTTGTTTACCACAATCATCAGCGCGAGTACTAATGCTCCTATCGTATCCAAGCACATGTGAGCATGGAGATTGTGGTTGGAGGTGGTGGCGGTGTGTTACGCACGGGGGGGGGGAGGAGGGGGGAGCAAGTCGGGCGGGTACCGCGGGTGCTGGGTGCTGGGGGTGGTGGCGGCGGCGGTGGAGCGCGCGGAGACGGATTCGGTACTTAGCGCAACGAGGAGCGCGCGGAGAACGTCGCGGCGGTACCACCCGGACCGCCCTATTCGAAACCCCGTACACTGACCCACGCGACACCCGTGCTAGGCACCACTCACCGGCTGCTCGTCTCCCCGCCGAGTGCACTCTTTCGGACCCGCTCGACTGCGCGCTCCCTTGCTAAGCGCGCTCTTTCGCCGCCGTCGGACCCGCACTCCGCCACCGCCACACACTCTAGCCCATCCCCCGTCGGACACTCCCCGTTCACACGCTCTTCAACCGAGTTTTGCGCAACCTGCACGAGCGGCATGCTCTCTGCCAGCTGGTTGGTCAGTCGACTCGCATGTCCGGCCAGCACATCGCCTCCTGTGTATGTGTGGTGGTGTATGCTGATCACAAAGGTTCCTTCCACCACATGGGTCCACACGGACCATTCTCGTAGTCAGGGAGTTCAGCGGCCATCTTGCTGCCAGTCACATTATCTCTTCGTACACTTGGTTCTATATAACATCGTCGTTCTGTTTGCTCACGATTCCACAACGCATGTTTCAAACTCCTTCGGAAGTTTTGCAAATTTGCATACTCCTCTGGAAGTTTTGACAGTCTAAAGACCTTCGCTAGTACTACTCCGCTTCAGTCATGCTAGAGTGCTAGAGCACTTTGTTTACTCTTGTTGTTTACTTTAAAGAGATGGAAATTTTCCGCGCTTTTCCGTTTTTCATTATTACCACAGGATTCGCGATAACTTCCACCTAATGGGGTGTCCGTACTATCAGACCTTGAGTATTTTCATAGCTGAAGGGATGCTCTCGTCAGATTTCTTTTATAGTCATGCTGAAACGGGAAACTTTCTCGGTTTCAAAATTTCGCATTAATTATCGAAAACATTCATAGTCTTTTAGAAACGAGAAGTACTTTGATGGAGTATTACTCTGAATACAAGAGCGCGATCGGCATTTCCACATTCCAAAATTTTTTGTAATCTCGTTGAAACGGGGAAATTTTTCATTCAAAAAAATATTGCTTGCTTATGGAGTTATTCATCAAGTCTATATGAAACAGAAAGTTTTAATTCAAATTCATATTTTTCGTTTTCTTTCCTTTCTTGAAGGTTTTACTAGTGTGATTACTGGTTATTAGTTACAGGAATTTTGACGTTTGTTTGTAAACAGTACAATTTTTCACATAAATAAATGGATATTGAATAAATAAATAATCAAATATGATATTACATAAGTAAAATTTTGTAGAATGTTAATGCCAGGTCAACGTTTATGTTTCTATTTTTCCTTTTCTGATTTATTCTCAAATTAATCACGGCTCCTCGCATTTTCTGCACTTTTGCGTCTTTTTCACCAAAATCCACATCATTATATAGTTCCAAGTGCTACTCTCATGTTCGTAACCACCTCCGTTCCAACACACTAATCCTCAAGCTGAATCTTGAATATCTGGGGCTCAGATCTTTTACAAAACCAGTCGAAATCCACTTGTTGACTGTAAATCTGGATCGCAGTTGAATTATCCCAACTTCAAGAAGATTCTTCGATAGTAAAATAAATAAATAATAAATTATTATTTGAGAAGAATCATATGCATGTGGAACTGTTTGTTCAGCTTTTTATCGTTGTTTTCGGAGTTTTACCTCTTGGTTCGTGTATTTTACAGCGTTTTTGTTATCTTGAACGTATAAATGTGAGCTTAGGGTTTTTTTGGGAAGGCAGTATTTACCAAGGGGGTTAACAGTTCCCAGAGCAAGCTGGATACGGTATGTTACGGTACATATGTGCCTAGCAAAGTGCTATAACAACAAAATAGGCCAAAAAAATTTGCGGGAATGAAATTTGAGCAAATTCCCCTTCCCTTCCCCCCGGGTTTTCTATAGCATTTAGATGTTTGATGCTTTGCACTATGTTTACAATACTTTTTATTAGTTTTTACTATGGTAAAGGTGCTGGCACGGTGTCCGGTCTCAGCCAACTAGCGATTCAAAACCTGTTGTATGGTGACTTGGACGGCACTTCTCCTTATTAGTACTCTAACATACCCTATACTATTGTTCGTTCTTGATTACGGTACTTTTGGGATGAGTTGCCTGGTTTTAGAGCTCAAAAAAGCCATAAAAAATCAAAAACTCCAGGTTGCTACGGTTTTCTTTTTTGGTTTACATCTGCTTTGTCCTATTTGAACTTTCCTTGCAATTTTCACATTGAATTTTTCAATTCTAAACTTCGTTATCGTGTCGGGACCTATATCCTTCATTTCTAGAGAGTGCGTTTAAATAATTCTAGAAAAATTCCAGTTACCCAGTGCCGATGACATCCTCGGCTCCTGAACAGTTACAGCCAACGGAGTCATCTACACCGACATTAGGAAACAATATTCAATTAGTGAGTATCTCTAAAAATTTTTACATTTTCCCGCCAATTTTCTTCGATGCCTTTTTTGGCCTTTGATTGTAAACAGCAGTAACAGTTAGTGATCGTGTCGGTTGATAACCTTGATAGAGATTTCTGGCGAATTGAGCACATCATCACCATCGACCGCCGAGCGAAATTTGGCCTTTTTTAACTAGCGATCGAAAGAATTGTAATGACATTGAGATTTGTGAAATGTGAAACGTCTCCAAAATCTGTTTTGACACTTTTATAGATTTGATTTTCGTTCCAGGGTCGACGTGGATCTCGTGTCGAAGGTTCGTCACTTTCACCACCGCATACGTGGTCCGATTCGACAGCCGAACAGGATGAGGATAGCGCTGAAAGTCGTCATCTGTTCACGGTGGTTGTCACACTACCTGAGGGAAATATCGTCGATTCAAGAGTGATCTCGGATAGCGTGTCAGCCGAGGTACGATTTGCGTCAGATGAGCTGACAAATTTGAATTTCATCCTCTTTTTCTCGTGCTAAAGTATCGCCAATTCTTTCCAACAGTCTAACATGGCGTAAGTAGAAATTATCAAACATTCTGTCAAAGCCCTGCCAAACTGCTGCGGAACTTCTTCGGAACTTCCGTAATTCAATTTGCAGATTGTATGTAACCTATCCTTTCTTAACTCACATATAGTCGGCATCAAAGTTACTGAGCATTTTTGTCAAAGCCCTGCAAAAGCCCTGCTGCTAAACTTCTGCGGAACTTCCGCAATTAAATTTAGAGAGCTTCCAAGACTGATGACTTCTGCAAAACTTCCGAGACTAGACTAATTACACCAATACCGAGCATTTTCATCAGAAGCCCGCAAATTCTGCGAAGGTTTCTCGGAACCTCAGCAATTAAGCTTAATAAACTTCCGAGATTTATAACATCTTCGGAACTTCCGAGATTTTTAAGTTTTTTTAACACTTCCGCAACTAGACAAATGCACTACGATCGCACACAGTTCATTACGATTGTCTTCTCTCTCCTACCCCCCCCCCCCTCCCTCCGCTCTTAGTGCCCATAAAGAACGATGCTCAGCTCAATCGTTCCATGTTTGCAACAATCTGTCATAGCCCCGGCTAACAGCAAAAAGACTTCGTGAAATGTGGCCGAAATAACCGTACCACGACGCACCGGCCTCTGCGCCCCATAGCCAAGAAAAGCTAGCTCTTCATCTTTAGCCCCCCCCCCCCCTTCCCCGTCAAAACATCCTTAGGAACACACTAAAGTGATGGATTTCGTCCCTTACCGTAAGATTTATGCCCTTCTGCTGTCAAAATGTCCTTCCTATCTTTTTCATTCGTCCAGCTTCCACATCCACCACCAAACACGGAGGTGTAGAACCAGATTTGTGTGTGTTCGAAGCGGGCGGGGGGGGGGGGGGCGACCTATTCGAAACCGTAAAAAGCTCCTTCAAGCTAAGCTCTTCGTCTACGTAACAACAGTCGTACCATGCGCTGCCTAGTGCGCAGCGCGAACCGAACAGGTCCCATTCGTTTCGTGAGTGTGTGTGTGTGCCAAAAACGTAAAGGCGATCTCTGGAATCTTTAAGAGCGGCCGAGTCGCACGGGGACACATCGATTTAATTCCAAAACCCCCGCCACGGGGGTGCAAGAATGACGATGTAATACGAAAGTGCAGAGATCTCATCGTGCAAAAGGTGTATAGCAAGGAGGGAGGGGGGGGGGGGAAGCGGAGTGGTTTTGGCAATATTGCGTTTTTTACCTCGAAGAAAAAAACGCTAGAATATCAACTACAAATGACGAGAATAATATTTTTGCATTACATATAGAAGTATAGAATTTGGTGGGAAAGATTTTTGCAAAAAAAGATCTACAGTTTACTAATTTGCACTCATTATCAAGCTCCTGCATTACTACTGCAGTAATTCTTGTGGAACTTCCGCAGTTGTATTTGAAAATTCCAGAAAGTGAAAGATTCTAGAAAAAATTCCGGTTTCAGATGCTGATTTAGTTTAGCATAAATAAGGATTAGCCGGCACTCCCAGTCAAAACGCTGCAAGACTGCTGCGGAAGTTTCGCGAATTTTCACAGTCAAATTTGTAGAGCTTTTGAGAATGACAAATTCTGTAAAATTTCCGGTTTCGGAAGTAGATCTATATAGTACAGGTAGACATTACCTTACGTTTGTTCAAACCTCTGCACAACTTCCGCAGAAATTCCGTAGGAAATCTTATCTGGCTTCTTTACTACTCGAACCCCTGCAAAACTGCTGCGGAACTTCCGCAGAACTCCGCAGTCAAATTTGTAGATCTAAAGTCAAAAACCTGCAAAATTTTCCGTTTCAGATGCTACAACCTGGCAACCGTTTCTTCTCGTGTCTCTTAGGAAAAGGCCAGTCTATTCTTCTCTCAGCTGCTGCTACCTCAACTCGACAACGAATTTTTGCTCGAATCAACTGGTAAGCATTTCTTTTCTCTTAGTCCTTAGCGATCTTTGTTACGACTTCAATACCTCTCAAAATCACTCGCGCGGGAATCGTAGTATATATGTGTGACGCGTGCCGATGTGTGGTATTAGTACGAAATTTGCGCGAGCAAAGTGCTGAGACCCGAGCGGATTATGTGAGAGAGGTTGTAGAGAACGTGGGAACGGGCGCGACAGTGGCGGGTGCAAGAGCGTCGAGGGGTGATAACGAAGCGAGACAGCGCGGAGCCGGGCGGGGGTCGAGACACGGGGAGAGAGTGTGTGTGGACGGGGGAGCCCGCCGAGACAGAGATCGCACCACGCACCGAGCGCGAGGCCACAGCGGTCATTTTGAGGGAGCGAGTGCGAGTGCGGGTGCAAAGAGCTATAGCAGAGAAAAAAACCCACACAACGACTTCCTTCTTTTTGCATCGGCGGGCCGCGACCCGCTCTAACGTGCGCGTACAACCGGCTGCGTTACCGTACCCCGTCGAGGAGGAGGTGGAGGAAGGTACCGTAACCCGTGCACATCTCATCTCTACGGCTACGAATAGGGGCATAAAGCTAGCGTGGGGAGATACGATTCGTGCTGCTCCACACCTGCTTGACACACTCCTCGCCCGCGCTTCCACTCCCCCCCCCCCCGCCTTTCTTCCTTGCCCCGAGATATATCTGGTCCACCTGCGCCGGGGTGCAGCAGTGCACGCACGACGACACAGGTGGTCACCTAGTGGTACGAGTTCGACTCGCGCCTCCTAATGAAACGTCTCGTCCTAGTCGGGTCGTAGTCGTCGACGCCGTCCGTCCGGACCGCCGCCGTCGCAGCCCCGCACCCGTAGCCCGTAGCCGGCCAGCCAGCATGACACCACCATTCACGACGAAAGATCGCCCGCAGTCATCCGCACCTTCTGCGCGACACACTGGACTATCTCCATAAGAAGGAGACGGGCCCTGACCGTATCCGATGTGGATCGTATCTAATCCTTAGATATATTTCAGCGGTCCAGCCAACCACGCTTGTGAGCTGCTGTGCGAATTCGAGCAAAAACGTGCCCGGGTCACTGCGTTGGTCCTCAGGGCCGCTTTTGGACCAAGTACGCCGTTCCACAGTCTTACGTTTACGACGAAACATGCAGCGAGCTGTGCACTGACACACATCGACTACACGTGAGTTCTTCTTGGGTTTTTCCAAGTTTTAGCCAGGGGCACATCATGCCAAAGCTGGGTTGTCAATCCGATATCGTACATATGCAAATTCGGGGGGGGGGGGGGTCTCGTGGGATTTGATTCAATTTGACGGGGACTTCAGAGAGGTTACTTACCCAGAAACTAGAAGAGGATTGAGGGGGGAGGGTCCTACTACTGGTCCTTACACGATATGCAGTAGCATGAGGGAAAGGAGCAGAAGTCCGAGCGACGCCTAATGGCGGTATTGGTTCCACTACCCAGTCTTGAAAATTCTGATAGACTCAAACAGTTATATAAAGATTTTGATAGCTCAACTTCCCCCTTTTCCAGATCGATCCCATATCTTGGCCATTTGCCAACTGATCTAATCGGCCGATCTATCCTAGCCTTTGTCTACGCTCCAGATGTACATGTTATTCGCCAAGCTCATGTTGACCGTGAGTTCCCGAACTTTCCCAGGGACCGCGTCCACTTTGAACAAGGGACCCTTTTCAGTGCACAATTCGAGGGGAAGAGTCGTGAAAAGTGTTGCGCCACTTCGTTTCGTCGCCTACAATGGGGCATTGCTACGAGCTGACACCGAATGGTCCGCCTATGTGAACCCATGGACAAAGAAAATCGACATGGTTGTCGCACGACATCGTATACTTGATGCGCCTATAGGAGGTGAGAGAAAATCTTGAGAAATTTGGTTCCGGAAAGGAAATTTCTTCATGGAAAATCAGCACAATATTAGCGAAACTTTCCGGAACTTTTGAAAACTGCTAAGTCCCTAATGGACTTTGACGGAACTTTGTCGAAACTTCCGAAAAACTACGAAAATCAAATAAACTTGCGACTTTAACGGACTTATTTGGAAGCTTTGAAACCTGAAAAAATTCTACGAATTTTGTCGGAACTTTTGTAATATAAAAAGCATAATCATATTAAAGCTTTGGAAACTCAATCCGTGAATATCGGCGCATCTTTTCCGGAAGTTTGCTTTTTGAGCACAGTATTTGGATACGGAATTTTAGCGGAACTTTATCGGAACTTCCGAAGAACTACAGAATTACAAAATCTTTGCAGTTTTATCGGAGCTGTTGAAACTTCTAGAATTTGCAAAAAGCTGATTGATCTCTTTGTCAGACGGAACTAATCTTGCAATAGATAAACTTCAGAGGAACATTAAAAATGGCAATTCTTGATAAAGCAAATTTTTCGTAACTTCTTCGAAACTTTTGCAAATTTTAAGAGATGATTATGGACGGCACCCTAGCGGAAGGAATTTTCAATTATCGCTAAAATTCGAGTGAATTTCTGCGCAGCTTCATCGAAAATTGTTGAAGCTTATAAAAACCCAAAATTCAGATGCAAATGTCTTGGACTCCCCCGCGAATGGTCAATCTCTACACGTATTACCGCCAGCGATGGCTAAGACTTTTGAAGACGAACTTCGATCGCTCATGAATAAGGTAAGCGTCGGACTTTACATATTCTTCCGCCTCTATACTTCCTTCTCTTATCTGTCTCCCCCCCCCCCTGTCTCGCGCCTTGTACCCGTCCGTATCCATGCGCTCTCGGGGCGCGGGTTCTACGATCCAACAACGATGCGGTTAGCGACTGAAAGAGTGCAGAAGGGACGCGTGCCAGCCAGCGCCGCGTCACTATCAGCTGTTTCGGGTGTTCGGTCGCACCAGCCGCTAGCGGCGGCACCGCCGGCCGCCGCCACTGCCGCCGGCTGCTGTCGCCGCTTGACGCACCCTGATACGGACTGATGAGTTGCGAGGGGGTACTGGCACACGAGGAAATGTCTCGGGCCCGGGTGATATTGACGTCAACTAGGTTCGACGAAGAAACATGCGCTAGTTGAATACAAATCAAGGCTTAGAGAGGGGGGAAGGAGTTCAAAAGGGCAACTTTTCCAAGAAACTTTGTGGGAGACTGGATATATAATTTTTTGAACTTGCCATAACATTTTATACTTTTTGGAGCGATGCCAAGATGATTGAAAATTGTTCACATTTTGAGAATCACCAACGGCCATAATGCTGAAAGCGAGAATTTTTTTTTTGAAGATTTTCAGCAGATTTCAAGCATACTTGCAAGCTTATCACAATTTTTGAAATTTTTTAGGGAATTTTCTAGCTTTTTTAAATGTTGGAAACATGGGGAAAAACGAGGAACATTTCTTAAAAAATGTTTAGACTAAACATAAGCTAAACGAAATGCTAAAAATTTTGGACCAAACCTAGCCTTAAGCCGAAGAAAAAAATCAGCAAATGACGGATAACATTAGTAAATTAATTTTAGAATATTTATGTAGTAGTTCCCCAAAATTCACACCAATATAAGATCTCTCTGACAAAAAATTCCACTAGTTCACAACTAATCTTGGATGTGAGCAAGAGCACTCCTCATCATTCGTGCCACCTCACATACTTGCTATGAAACAGTAAATTCTTTGCACTTTTGATTTTGAATCTTTCCGATACCTTTTTTTGATATCATATTTCTTTCCATGAAAAACAATTTATATCAGTGCATTTCCCCCGTCGTCATGGACATCGAAAAAAGCATTTGAAAAAGCAGTCTTTTTATAGATTAGAGATATTTCAATCGCTGATTGTCACTGTTTCTATCAGAATTTTTCTTGTTGATAGGATTACCATCGATTAAACTCTAAACCTCTTTTTTCTTGAAATTCTGGAATTTTTCTAGTTTTTTAGAGCCATCAACTACCAGATGTAAGTTATCGAACTGTCTTTAGCGACTGATGGAGCGCGAACTCGCTTCAAAGTCACTCTTGAAACGGGAATTTTTGATAGATTGAAATTTTTGAATTGGTTCAAAAGTACAGTCATTTGAATGGAAATTTTCTGACAAAAAAATCGTTCTTGAAAATGCACTCGTTTTGCTTCTAGGAATCGGATAAATTGCTCGTTTTCCCACTTTTTTTCCACTCAAATTTTCTGTTTCATAAGGGACTTAAAAGGCTCAAAGTTTGATCAAAGCTTGAAGTATTGAAATCACTTCAAAAACTAGTCTTGAAACGGGAATTTCTAGCAAATGTGTTTTGCCTTATGAAATGGACTAAAAGCACAATTTCGTCACCAGAATTTTTTTTTCGCACAAATTTCCTTTTCATAAGGGACTGAAAAGGCTTAAAATAGTTTTCCACCAAAATTTTCTGTTTCACGAGACTACAATGGTTTAAAACTAAGCTTCATAAAGGGATACGACCTTATAGGTCACATCCTGGTCAGAATCCGCGACCTGCGTGTCAGGAGGTGCATGGTGTTAGTGCCAACCGCGGCGACGGCGGCGGTGACCGTACCCGCTCTACCCGTAGTGGTGACCCGTATACCAGTGAGCGTAGCTGGCACCCGTCGATGCGCACAACGGGGCTCGCGTGTCCGGTGCGGCCACCCAGATCACCTTCATTCATTCCGGGGTTTTATTCTTCGCCGCGGCGCGTATAAACTCTCCCCTTCAAACCATATAGTGCGCGACGACGTGTACTTGAGTGGCGGTGATCCGCCTCGTCAATGTCAGTTCGGGTCCTTCCCCCCCCCCCTCCCCTTCTGTGCACTTTGACGTAATTTGCATAGTTTTTGCTAAATTAGCGAGAAAATTCAATTTCGTATCAGCGCGGTATGCGGAAGAATGTCGTGCCGTGTACGGACTAACAGGGTAATGCAGCTCTTCACCGCACCCCAGGCGCGGTTAGCCAGCCCGAAGCAGCGCCTGCGGTCGGTGCTAGCCACTGACGGGCAGTGCCACTCAGCGGACCTCCGCCGCCGCTCCCCCCGCCATCAAATTGTACTCTCCTGGCCCCCGGCGGCCAGCTAGAGCACCCCCCTTCAGCAGGCTCCAGCTATCAACACGCCTGATAGACACACACACCTCGCCTGGTGTCATCTATCAACACCCCTGCACAGTTTTGTCCCCTCTCCCCCCCCCCCCCCCCCAATTCACTTATTCGTCAAAGCAATAAGGAGTCAATAAAAGGATGAGTTTGTACTCTGTAATTCACTTCAATTAATTTTCATAAATGGGAAAATTTAACGAAAAAAATGAGCAATTCAATATTTCACTCCTAATGAGGAAGTGCATTACCAACAGCGACCTTTATAAATGTTCCATATAAGGAAAAAAATTATGCACTTTACAGAATTTCTAAAAATTTAAGGGGTATTTCGATCCATCAAATCTGTAAGAGGCGTTCATTCATGCAGAAATTCTCTTCGTTTAAATGTCATTTTTGTCATTCCATTTTCAAAAATTATCCAGTTTCAAAAAAATTCCGGTTACGCTATTCCAAAGAAAAAAGATTTTATTTCGATCCTACAAAAAAGTTCCCATTTCACTCTTTCATTCTACTTCATAGAAATTTCCAATTCTGTCACAAAATATTCCCGTTTCACTTCTTCCAAAATTTCCCCGTTTCGCAGCTCAGGAAAAGAATTTCCCGTTTCACTACCTGAATAATTCCCGCTCCTTCAGAATTTCCCCGTTATGATCTCATGGAAAATTCTCCGTTCAGCTCCTGCAAAAAAAATCCCCTTTCCCTCCTTCAAGAAGTTTCCCGTTTCATTTCGCATTATTCAAAATGCACATGATCAAATTGAAACAACAACCCATGATACATTTATACAGCGCTGTTCTTCTACTACCACGCGCCAGCTGTTTAGTTATAGCTGTGTTTGTTTTTCACACAATCAACACATTTCCAGCTGACCAGCGCGCGCGCCGTTACGTCAAAAAGTGCACACGCGCACACGGGCACGCGGGAGCCACGCGCGATCTCTGACCTTAGTAATCGCTTCGTTTTTTGCACTCAATGGTCCCAACGGCTCGCGCCAACAATATGAGTCACACGGGCCGCGAGGCAGTCACACCTTCGAAAAAGAAGAACCGTGTCGGGTGCACCAGGTGCAGATTCCCACGGTCGTGGACGCGCCGCACACGACACGGCACCCCCCCCTCGTGGCGCGCGTCACGCCCCTTCCGCGTATATGTTTGATGTGATGTAGATATGCGTACGTCTGCGTGGGGTAGTGCTGTGTGTCTGCGTATTTGGTCAGCACGACCAACTACGTACTTCCGTACGCGCACTTCGGCGGCGGCGGTGGCGGCGCCACCGAACGGACGTACGCACTCGGCTCAACCATTAACACTTCACTTCCTTATCCAGCGCCGCTTTCGCTTTCTCTTCTGGCTATCTGCCCCCAGAAAAAACTTTTCCCAGAGAATTTTCCCCCATTATTCCCGCACTTTTCAGCCAGTCTCGAGCACCTCATCCTGTCGTGGTTCGGCTGGTGCCAGCAACGGTGACATCGGAGTCGCTGTTGGTGCCCCTGGTGGACTGATGTACGACACGGCTGCAGTACGAGCAGATGGCCGTCCGACGGACCTAGGCGCTTACATCGATCGACTTGTGGAAACACTTGTTGTGAACAGTACGACTTGTCAACAACCAATGAAGGTTAGCCGAGTAGAACCAGTCTGGATCCAACAAGCACCTATTTTGTTTGAAATTTCAGTGTCAAACGGCGTCGCAGAGCACAACACCAATTAAGGACGACGTGCCCGATTTACCGTTGTCGTACAGTCAAATCAACTGTTTGGAAAATGTTCATCGTTTGCTGAAGTCACAGTCACGACCTGACACTCCGGTTAAGGGAGAGCAAGAGGATGCTGTGTAAGTTGTTGAAGTCCTTTTTTTTCATTTTTCATGAATTTGAAAACATTTTCCGGAGCGAAAGGAGATTCTTAAAAAGAGTGAAAAGAAGATATTCTCTGAAAAGATGAAACGAGAAATTTACTGGTAAAGCGGAAACAGGGAATTTTCGTAGGGGCGAAAAGGAGATTATTAAGAGAAGGCAAAACGGGAATTTTTTGCTGTTGCGAGGCGGAGTTTTATGGAACCAAAAAAAGGGATTTTTTTCAAAGATCACTAATTGTTTTGAAGAAAAGAAGTGAAGAATTATTCTCAAAAGAGTGGGAATTTGGAGGAAAGAGACGGAAATTTTGCGAGAAAGCAAAGTAGGGTTTTCTAAGGAACGAAGAAATTTTCCGGAAGAGAGAAACGGGGAGTTTTCAGAAGGAGCAAAAGAGACATTTTTTTACAAAAGCTAGAAATACTTCTTAGGAAAGAGGATGATCGCTGACAGATCGAAGCTGAGAACTTTTTGAAGGAGTGAAACAGGAAATTCTTTGAAGGAACGAAATCGGGAATTTTTGAGGAAAAGAAACGGGAAATTTTTCAATAGAACAATTGTTGGAAATACTACAAATCTCGGAATTTCACAATCTTATTTTCCATAAATCCTCTTGAATTTACAAGGGACCCCTTGAACTTCAAAAATCCTTCCTACTGGGAAAAAACCACCTCTTTTTTCGAGAAGATGAGATTTCCTGCTATCCAATATTTTTAACATTTTTTCCACATCAAGAAATAAGTGGTTTGGGGTAGTTTTCATCTCTTCATAAATTTTATCTCTCCGATTTTGATTACAGTAGGATGTAAACTACCTAGAAAAGCTCCGTAATTACGACCCTTGCTCTTCTTCCCACACCCTAACAACCTGGTTGCAGTAATGGTGTTAGGTGGTGACACGGCGGTCGGTGTGTCAGTGGGGATTGTTTGTCACTAGTGCCATCCCCCCCCCCTCCGCCTCTCACCCCAACAAGGCCATCGTTGTCCTTTGCGCAATATCGGTCAACGGCTCATAACAACACCCCACTGCAGTTGGTGGTGACTGTCACAACAATCACACCCTGGCACGACCACCCAGAACACACTACATTAAGCTGTATGGAGTAAAAATAATCGAGATTTTCAATCAAGAGGCTCTAATCCACTTATCTCATTATATTTTCAGTACGGTTACGATGGCATCGGCGCCGTTGACACGGGAGGTCCTACAAGCGCATACGAAACGATGGGAAGAGCAATACCGGGACACCTGGCATCGACGTCTGAAGCGAATGTCAGCCGAGGTTCTGCCCGGGGCCCCGCCACATAAGCATCTGCGCCCGGCTTCGAGTTGTACACCACCTGCACATTGGCCGACAGCTAGGCGGGAGGAGTTCTACCGTAGCCTGGCTCCGAATCCACCACCGCCTCCGGGGATGAACTTCCAGGTAGGAGAAATTTTCTTTCAATAGAAAAAAGGTCTAGTGGAACAGGTCATAGGGTTACTAACCGTCCTCACTCAACAGATCCGGTAGACAGTTCTGGATTTGAATTGGAGCAGGCCGTTGGCAGTAGAGCGCGTCCTGCTGACGGTGCTTTTCCTGTACTGCAACCGATCTGCTCCAAGCCATGTTTGAAACCGCTGCCGGATTTTCGGTGGTTGACGATGACCGTTTGGTCACATGTCTCGTGACTACCGTAACCCTATGACCATTCCTGGACTAAGAAAGACCCTAGTTCTTCCGTAAGACTCCATCAGAACTAACTTCTCCCCATTCCAGATCACAACCATTCCACTGCCACCCATCGAGGAGAAAAGCACTCCACCGACATCGTCGACAGACCGATCGAGTGCTTTCACCCAGGTCCAACCAAAAGCGATCCCCGTGCGGGACCTCCCCGCACCGATCGCCCTCTCCATCCAGGAGCACCCGAGTGTCATTCAAGCCCCCTGTGAGCCCCTAGTCGTTCCTCGCCTACAATGGGCTCATGGTGCCGAGCCACTAGCTCTGAAACATCGAATGCTTCCCGAAAGCGCATAGGTTTTTCAAATTTTTCTGCTGCTCTGCTGCCCCCCCCCCTTTATCTCGTCTCTCTTGCGCATCTCTAGAAATGCGTGCTACCCGTCGTTCTTTCTCAATATCTCCACATACAAATTATATATTCCTGGTGGTGATTTGTCCCCTATACTGCCCATTTCACATCCATCCAACACTGCCCTTAGTCTATTTATCCTCAAAAATGTGTTATGCCCATGATTTTATATATTGTATGTAATGATTGATGTGTTTTTTCTGTGTGCTTTATTTGTTGCCTTCTACCCCGAGTTGTTTTGTTTCACCCCCGCTAACACTGCCGAGTGCGTACGGCTGACGGTGCCATAGGATCCACTGCGCTGCTACAGTACACCTACCGTACCCCCACATTTCCACACCACAAAATCTCTCTCTTCGCTCTCACCACTCTCTATTTACGTCTTTCATTTTACGTTATTCGTGTGCCGTAGCCGTAGGGACACGGTATCTACCGCCTGCGTCCCTCCTCACAAATGTGATTCACCCCAGTTTTTCATTCCTCATCAATTCGCGTCTTTGTCTCCTCCCACTTGTCTTTCATGCCCTACCCTTCGCGGTAGGACCCGCGTTCGAACACGAAACACCTTGGTTACTGTAATTATGCTCGCTAAACTTCATTTTTTTCGATATACCTCAAGATCCCGATGCTATCGAGCCACCGTAACCGAGGGCGAAGTAGTGTCTTTCGGGCGCGTTATGTGCAATCTGATATCTGGTAGTATTTTGTCATTTTTTTCTATTTTTTCTAGACATATTTTGAAGCGTAAGCTTTTCATGATATGTGTTGTAAAGAGCAACATTGGTTACATTGACATATAATTGTTGACATAACCGATCTTATTTGTATAATACATAGGTGTTGATGAATTGATATCTCACAAACTAATAAAAATTCATGAAAGTATATCTTACTGTATGCATACTGTAAACATACTGTAAACAAACAAAATCTGCTTAAAAACAACAAGTAAACAAGTTCAAGGTAAACAAATAAACAACAACAGAGAAATATTCATCTCCTACCCTTGCCTCGACTCATTCCGCCTCTTGGTGGACCTCCTCGCCCACGCCCCCGTCCACGGCCTCGTCCTCGTCCTCGCTGGAACGACTGGCGCTGATGATCCTCTTCGCTTCGGAATGCATGATGGAGGTTTACAAGGTCTTTGACGGACTCATCGCAAAACATACAGCCTTTGTACGAAGTTCTACCATCGGGTAAGGGGCTTTTATCCTGAAAATAGGGAGCAGTCAGTGGAAGAAGCAAGAGTAAAAAATTATAATTCGGAACTTCCGCAAAAGTTCGGCAAGTCCATTGCAGAACTTCCGCCACAGTCTGGCGGAACTTCCGTTACACTTTTTGGCGAAAATTCCGCCCTATAATCGGTCTAGACGATCAGGCACCTAACTATTAGTTAGAAAATTGAAAATGATGAGGATTTTTGCATGTTCAAGCCCCTCCTGCCCCAGAAAACTTTAGTCACCTTATACTCCACAGCAACAATTCTTGCATCGCAATCTTCACAGCTACTTTCCGTAACTTTGAATTTCAAAGCTCCCTCGAACATCGCAACCACCGAAGGGCACTTATTGCAAGTGAGCCTCCACTTTGGGTGTGATTGCGGATCCAAAACCATGACTCCTAGGTTCGTAAACTATAGACGATGAAGGATTATAATCGAGGTAACTTACCGCCACAATCTTGTAAACATCCGCAACAACCATTTGTCCTAAAATGGAGATATGAACGCCACACAATGGGAGTCGCAAAATTGAAGATTCGAAAAAAAGCAATTTTATGAAGTACTCTTTTGAAATCAATTTCGATTGGAAATTTCCTGTCAAATTTGAGTTTGTAAAGTTGGACGAATTCATCAGGAGTCAATGCGCGTAATTTTTCCCTAAAGAAAACAGGTTACCAACAAAAGGAAGTTTGCAAGTTTTTGATTTACTTATTAGACAAAACTTCATTTTATCTTAGAAAATCGCCGAGAGTACACAAAGCCCCATGATAAAAAAAAAGGCTGTTTCGTAGAGATTTAAAAATGGAGGAGCATATTTTTTGCTTTCACACAGAAGTACGAAGAATATAGAAAGATATGGAGCAAAACGCTTCGAATTTATGGAAGGTGAAATTCCAGAATTCTAATCATTTTTATGAGCGCAGTGCGTAAAAATACAAATGCAGACTGTAAAAAGTATTAATAAGGTTTATCGAAGACGAAGATAATACCAACTAATCCCAAAATTGATATGTAATTCAAGAAACTGCAAACTTATGCTCTCTCAATAGGAATCAATCGTGCCATTTTGAGCATTATTATCCTTTTCTAGAATAGAACGCACAAAACATGAATATTAATTGCAATCTAATGCTCCCTCAATGACATTGATTCAACTGCTATTCTCAACTATCACTGGCAGTGCTTTCTCAATAAGATGGACTATTGTTTGCCATTTAATTCACTATCACACTATTATTGTAGTGGAGCGTACGGGTCTTATAGGGTGGTACAAGATGTTACAACCTTTTTTTTACATAAACACCATTACATTTTTTGACAATGGATATCAGATGTAAGCTTTGCCTTAGCACAAAACGGACTGTTTTATGCTAATTAGATAAGAGCTTTGCCTACGCAGAATTTTTTACGAACAGTCTCAATAGATTAGTAGAGCGCAAAATGAGCTACAACAAAAAATCATTCTTGATAAAAAATCTACTTGAAGGCGTCCACATAAAATAAGAATCAGGGGAGGGGAGGGGGTCTTTCCTATAAAGAGATGTCTTAGCTCCAACTTAGTGGCAACTCGTGTGATTCATTTGTGGCCTAAAAATCTAAACCCTTTTACGCAATACCGTAGTCTTGTCTGCCCGGGCGACAAATGGGCCCTACTCGATCATGGTACTGGGCAAGAGGCTTGGAGTCGATTTTTTAGCAGAATCAATTAAATGAGCGCTTGTGTGGTAGCTTAGTCAAGGCCTCGCAATCAGTTCCCACGTAAGGCTTCTAGGCATCAAGGTACTCGGTACGGTAGTGGACGAGAGTCTAGACTTGAACTTCTCAGCCACAAGAGAGCCACTCGAGATGCTAACTGAGCAATGCTTAGATAAGCTTCCTAATCAAAAGCCATATGAAAACTCCAAGTACCAAGATCTTACAAGGAAAGGATACTTGGTGACCGTGGCCTTTCGAAATGAAACGTATACCATTGAATGCACCTTGAAGCGCCAATTCCAAATCTGTTTTCATCATCTGCTGTGCGCTCTTCTGAAAGAAGTTATGAACATTTTTTGTTACCAAAATTTGCACTTTTGATGCAGGATTCACCAATATCGTTCGAATGTCCACTTAGGCCCCGGACAGACTTCACGCGATTTGATCGTCGCGACTGAATCGCGACGAGACAACTGTTTCAACATCATTCCATGCCGCTCAACTTGCATTTCGGTTGTGATACTTTTCCAGCCCGAAATTTTTGAATGTGAAATGAAAATGAATGAAAATGTCGGCGATTGAGTCGCGACGATCAAATCGCGTGAAGTCTGTCCGGGGCCTTACGCACTACAAAAGAGAGTACAGATAAAGTAAAGCTTCATATTAAGCTCAAGAAAAATGTCACCGACACAGCAAAGCCTAAAAAGCTTGATTACTGACGATTTTGACTGCCTAAAACTCGCAAAATCAATATGGAAAAAAGTCCATAACTTCGTTCAGGGAGTCGCACAGCAGATAATGAACATAGATTTAGAATCAGCGTTTCAGGGCGCATTTACTGGTATACATCTCATTTCAAAAGGCCACGGTCACTGTGTATCCTTCCCTATTTTAGGTTACGGTGTGGGAAGAGTTTAGAGTTGAATTTCTCAGCCATGAAGGAAGAATACAAGCTGCTGATTGAGCAATGGCTCCCATAAGGCCTTTCAATCAGATATCCGCATGAAACTTCCAGGTAACAATAACAAGCTGGTTACGGCACTGGGCGAGATTTTAGCTTCGATTCTCAACCATGAATGAATCGTTTGAGTTGCTGTTCAGGTAATGAAAAAGAAAAGGCCTCGAAATCTATACACACGTGCAAAGTCCAGGTACCAAAACTTTCGATACGGTAGTGGACGAGAGTTCAAAGTTAGATTTCTCAGCCACGAACCGATCACGCGAGCTGCCAATTGGGCAATGATTCAGATAGGGTCTCTCGATCGATATCCACATAACAAGTCCAGGCGTTATCCAGATTTGCTACTGAAAAATATACTGGAAATGGGTACATAACGCCCAATGTCTAAATGATTCGGTATTGATCATAAAAAATCGCAGCACAAGCGTACTGTAGACCAGTTTTGACGGAAAAAAATGGCAGTGACCGCTATTGCACTATTACTCATCACGCTTTGACACATCGAACACATACAGTAATCGTTCCACGTTACGACACATCGGAAGCAGGCGTACGCACACTAATCACACAGCACCCGGTGCCACTCGTCGGGCAAGCTCGTAAAGAGCGAAAAAAAAGTACGGAAGCTGGATTGTTACGAAACCGCTTGCGATTAGCTGATTTAGCGACATAAAAACCCGCTGTCCAAGCGGTCATTAGTTTCCGAACGTGATAGTGGAGGCTATTTTTCAGAAGAAGCTTTTAAATCTTACATGTACGAATGTGGACAAGCTGGATGTGAACAGTTCGAACATCCATCTCCTTCTTTCATCGATTCGAATGGTGGGTTGTTGTAGCAAAATGGACACAAGGCAAAATTTCGGGCGAGTTTTCCTCCGGTACCCTAAAACCTTATGCCCTTACGATAAAAAATAGCGAACCATTTCAAAGCTCACATTCCAATAGACCAGCTCAAAATCATCTAATGGACATTTTTTCTCGCCATAAGGCCGCAACACCCCGTCCTTGAAATTCGGCACAGAGTAGGTCTCCTGTAAATAACTAGCCTACTAAAGGTAAGAAGAACAAAATGGTTCCTTACCTGACAAGTGGGGCAAAATAGCCGCTGAGGTTTTGTAGGTACCAATTTCATATACCTCCTACACTTGCCACACCTACAGAATGGTTTCCCGGAATCAGCGAGAGTTGTGAAAGATGCTGAAAAAAAATTAACCTTTAATTTTGCTAGAAAATATATAGAACTAGAAATATAAACAAAGCCTACGGGTTTAAAAATGGGTAAAGTAAGCAAAATTGTGCTAAAGACATTCAGTCTTCGATAGCTTGAAGATAAGCAATTTTCAGAGTCTTATGAATAATTTTGAAGCAGAAAAATTGCTTTTCCTAAAATCAGAAGAATGACAAGTTATGAACCAAGGAGAACTCAGCAAAAATGACGAAAATGTAGAGATATGTAGTAAAAAAGTAACCTTCAAACAGAGTGTCAACTTGTCCAATATTCTTCACATAATAGACGAACTTCATGCGGAACATTTCAAGAGCATGATCTCTCACCTGCAAAAAAAAAGTGACTGCAAAAAAAAGTGATAAATAAACCTCCAGAATTTCTCTCCCATCATAAGTCGAAAATAAAAAATGATTTGCCCATAAAAAAGTACGAAAAATGTATCCCAAGTAAATAAGTATTCAAAAACGTCAAACATTTTGTTTCACAAAGTGCAAATGCACTACAACTCAAAGTTTTATCTCTGTTTCATTCCTAGAAAAAGTTGATGAAACTGCTTTTCAGAGAGCTGGAGGAAATCCTGATTTTCTAATGCAAATTTCCAGCTTGATTTATAGTGCACCCGCACAAGGTGAACCAAATTACATCAAATGAGATAACAGATAACTGCGGGGAAGACCCAGGAAAGATGCCGTCTAAAAATGCAAATTTGAATGTGATCTACATGAGAACTGCGCAACTCTTTTGATCTTTATCCAAAAATCTCAAACTACGTAAAATATTCCCGGTTCCCCCGGAAAGATCAAGCATGTTGAATTACGAAAAAAAATGGAAGCAAAAAATTTTTTGTACGCTTTTGCGCCATTCCTATCCAAAAAATTTTACTATCGCCAAGCAGGAGGCTCATTTTGTTGACTGACCCTCCCCCCCCCCCAAATAAGAATTGAGAATGCCGGAAAAATTTGATTCACCGCGTGATAATCTGCTTTGCCCTGAGCAATCAGATTTAACTGCGTTTCAACTTCAGCTCTCATCGTGGGTAGGACGAGTTCGCGATCCACTCGCCAATATCCGTGCACTAGCGAGATTCCTAGACGAGTCGGCACCAGACGCCGACCACTCTCCACCTGGATAAATGCATTCAATAACTACAATAAAAACATTTTTTCTGCAAATCTACCGTTACGTAATTTCTTTGAGAAATTGTATTGATATGAACTGGAATGGATGCATCTGTGCCGATTCCATGCTTTTCCATTAGAGAGATCAACTCTGATTCGGTGAGATAGCCAGGAGGAGAAGTTTCACGAGCTACTAGGCTGGCATCCCTAGAGTCTTCTACATGGCTAACAAAATCTAACTCAAGAAAAAAGAATATTTCTCACTTCAAAATAAGTTCATCACCCCGATTCAGCGCTGGCAGCTTTTGATCGTCCTCGACATTCAACCATGTCATAACTTCCGTGAATCCTGGATCCTTTACAGTTTTTCCTGTCAGGACGAATGACTCGTCGGCGGAGGTAATACTGAATTAGGTCTATCCAAAAATCATAACTTGGCTTGAAACGAAAGAGAAGAACAAACGTGATGGTAGTAACATCATAGATGCATGGTCCCATAAGCGTTGCGACAAAGTGTTGCACGACATAATCATAAATCCGAGCCATATCTATAATTGTAATGAAAAATAATACTCAAATAATTACTGTGGAACGGACCAAAAATAAAATCATTTTGTGTACCCAAATTCCGTTCATTATTTCAAAAAATTATTTTTGAACTAAAATCTAACGCAAAGGAGGAGCTTGGAACTAAATATATCACAATCATATCGTGAGTTGCTCCGTGATTCAATTAACCTGTATGAATTAAGCTAATGACCTACAAATGTAGGTTCGTCAAGTAAAATTTCGTTGATTTATTTATCACTTACTAGTTGGTTGTCCACGACAAATAATTTGTGAAATAATTTCACGATAACTTTGTTTTTTCCCTCATCTTCATCCAGACTCATGGAACTTAGAAAAAAACGGTATGATTACTCTACAGTATACTTTCCAACAAAGTGCCCAACTAGAGAGAGTGCTCAAAGCATACACCTATCCGAATCAATGGTGCTCATGAATAGTTAACAAATTTTTCAACTTTATGCTTCAATAACATAGTATCATTGACCAAAAGTACATTTTCTGGATAATGATAGGTTTGCATACTCTTTGCCAATCTTGTACAACTTTTCGAGAATGGCATTCCATTTCTAGCTATAAATAAAGCCAATAAGCGGCTAGTGTACAGCCTGTATTGTAATAATTCTTATCTTAAAAAACCCACATAGTGGTAAGAATTTCTGTATTGCAATGGAGGCAAGTTATATAGTAAGTCAGACAACTTGACTACATGGCGAAAATTCTGACTCGCGCTTGTTTTTGGATCTCAAAACTCGCATCTTTACGCGCATATGAGATTGGAGTTTGTCGTATTCAGGGGAACCAAAGAATGCAAGTTTTGATATCTACTAATGTGTAAATCACCATCACCACCATTATCACTATTAGTCCCCCCCCCCGCCTCCTTCTTAGAAGAGTCACCGAACTGTTTCCATTTTCGCCCTTTTTCATCGAGAAAATTTGCGTTTGATGCTATTGTGGGCGCTAAGATTTAATCACGAACGACATTTCTAACCACTGATGTTGATAGGGCACTTTTTATCTTTTTAATTTCTAGTTCTTTTGTCTTTTCTTTTTTCTTTTTCTTTGTTCTTTTATCTCAATTTTAATAATATTCTACCTCCAGAAAGCTGTCCATTATTTGGCTTCATCGGCGTGATCGGTGGATGATCGCCTTTGTCATCGCCACCGCGGGGTTTCCGTATTCCTTCGCTCAAAACCTAAACAATAATATACAATGTTGTCTTAGTTGTCTTATATTTTTGTAACACTCCTCACCTTCCTTACAACATCTCCCCATTTAGAGTTGTTTGTCTGCTGCTGTAGTACTCCTTTGAGATCGAAATTTGCCGAGTAGGCAGTAGTTTCGGTTCTTGGATAAGATATGAATCCTTGTGTGTAGAGCTGTTCAGCCACACTCATGGTCGTCGCAGGACTTAGTCCTGCAAGGGGTAAACAAAGATTAGCTACCTATTTCTATTTCTTTCTTATATTTTATTCCACGATTACTCTGCGCTTTAGTTTTACTTTAGATTTTCTTGTAATGTAGAAGAATGCTTGAGAAACTAGCAAGGGGTTATTTGTATTGTAATTCATACCGCTGACTAAAGAGTTCTAGAAAAATTCAAACAATTTTGTCTAACAAGGGAACGATCCCAACTTAAGGTGGCGAATTGGAATAAACCGCATACCATTGGATGCGTCTTGATGAGCTGATTCCAAATCTACCTTCCATATCTGCGACAACGTTATCTGGAAGAAGTTATGAAAGGTTAAAAATGTGAAGTAACGGGGGTTTTGATGCATAATTTGCTTTAAAATCCAACTTGGAAGTGCACGACTAGCATCATATTGAGTGTACTGATTTCACGGAATGCTCACATTCAAAAGAAACGCAAATAAATGTTTTTGACCAGCTAAAAAGCAACTAAAGTTCTTTGGTAAAAGCTATGAGCAATGAAAAGTCAAAATTTGGCAAATATACAGCGCAATACCTCCAAAATTAGTTGTTCAAAAACACTTACTTGTGTTTCTTTAGAGTGTGAGCATTCCTTGAAAACAGTACACTCAATATGATGCTAGTCGTGCACTTCCAAGTTGGATTTTAAAGCAAATTATGCATCAAAACCCCCGTTACTTCACATTTTTAACCTTTCATAACTTCTTCCAGATAACGTTGTCGCAGATATGGAGGGTAGATTTGGAATCTGCTCATCAAGACGCAGGTTCATTCCAGTTCGCCACCTTAAGTTGGGATCGTTCCCTTGTAAGAGAAGCTTCTATGTGAACCTGAGATGAAGCGCACATTTTATTAAGTACGGTCAGTAAAACCTGCTATATCTCCTAATGGGGAAGAAAATGACAAAAGCTTGGTGTTATCTTTCAAGACAAGAAAGTAGACTTGTTGTTAATACATCCACCTACTTTTTAAAAATTCATTACAACTATGAACGGAATTTTTTGGCACTGCATAACATTGTCGAGTGAATTAGTAAGTTTTACCAAAAGCACTGCTGGAAATCCTCATCAGCTCGACTGTGTTCAACGCAAGCGGTCGTTCTTTTCTGCTTTCCTTCGTACTGACATTGGCGACTATGCCTTTTCCTCGATTCTGAACAAAAGTGCAAAAGAATTTGTTTTCTCCTAAATCACTCTACCTTGACACGATCCAGGAATAGCTGAGCAACATCTCTATCAAACATTCTGCCCCGCTTCCATTCAGGTTTCACAACTGCTCCATCCGCGGTTTCGAATGTGCTTTGTAGTAGCCAGTACGGTTCCGGCTAGAACTTCTACTATTGCATATTCTTGTGGAAACAAAAACGTTCGAACTAACCTTGAAATGAGTAATGAGATCATGACGAGTCACACAGAATCCTAACGTTGGTGTCTGACAAGGGCCATACGATATTACAGTACTGTCGAGGTCGCCATATTTATTCTGAAAAACTTTTGTAGCATTACTTATCACAAGCTGCCTCTTTTGTGAATTCAAACGAATAAAAATTCAAGGTAAAAAATATTTCAAATGATTTATGATAATCATTGCTTTGCTCATTCTCCGAGCAATTATGGTGCAAGCTGAAAGTGTCATGTGTCCTCACGATTGTCTGGTGCGATCGCCCCGTATATTATTTACATTGATTGAACGGTGTTATTCCAGATGGTGAGAGATGTGTCTTCAAAAATTTGCGCATTTTCAACAATTGATCTGTCGCTAGCGATTCTTGGATTGGAGGATCCTTACAATTTCTCTATTAGTGCATTATCCGACCTAGAGTTGTGTAGATCTGGATTTTTGGAAGCGCTCGAGACTTGATTATTTGCGCGACTAGTACATTGCAATAATTGGGCTTGATTCCTCCACATACAGATATATTTGGGTTTCTACAATCTTCCAACGCCAACAAATTTTGGATTGTTTTGAGGGGATTTTCGGGGTAATAATAGATGCAAGGAGTTTCATTATCTATCATCTCGATTTCGCAAACGAACGAAGCGAAGTACATAGAGATAATAGGCGGCAAACGATTATGACAATATCTATACGCTAGTGACGCTAGAGAATATCAGCGTAAAAACATAACTGCTAGAAAGCAAGAAAAACCGAACGCAGCAAGAATATTTGACAATCACCATTCTCTGAGATGAGTGCGATTAAATGAAGATAGCGACTCTTGTGCTACAATCTCTATCTCATGCGTTTTGGGTACCTTAACTTCAGCCTTTTTTTCTGAAGTTTTCGTTTTGGAATGTTTAAAAAGCCTTGATAACAGCCGATAGAGTAAAGCAAATGCTATAAAACTCAATTTTTTGGCATCGATAACTAACTTCTCAGTATTTTCAAGAACAAGTTTTCCAATAGTCTTCACAATGGCGAAGTCGTAAAATCGTAAAATAAACAAACGCTTTAAACACTATAAAATCTTCGCAAATCGGAACTTCCAAAAATCGATTATGATTAAACACCAATTTTAACAAACAAATGAGCTTCTACCGTCCCGAAAAATTGATTTTCGAAAAAAAAAGCTGCATAGAATGACACCCTACATAGTTGTTTGCCGTCTGATGTTCTACGAGGTTTGGGATAAACAAATATCAAATTTGGTAGCATCAGAATGATAACTTTAGAAAATTTAAGAAGCCAGCTGTCGAAGCCAAAAACATTGCATTGCACTTTATCCAAATGTTAGCAAAGCATTTCCAAAAGTCCAGAACAAAAATTTTTGAAAAATAGCAGAAGTTAGGGTAGATAAAAACCATGGGTCAAAGTTTCTGCCGATTTTTCAGGCGAACATCAGGAATCCGAACAAGTACCTAACTGCAGGAAAGAGGAAAAATCTGCATAGAACACTTTCTAGAGTGTTTCTTTCTCTTTATTCTGGATGATTTGAGGATAGGCCTAAAAAACGGCACACTTACAGGATTAATTATTTTCTACAAAAACGTTAAAACGTAGACTAAGCAGTAATCATGTTACTTACAAGGGAAAGATACTGACTTAGATTCGCCTTTTGAGATGAGACACATACATTTGGAATCAGCTTGGAACGCTGATATTAAATATGCTGTTCCTAGCTGCTTAGCATTATTCTGAAGCGAGTTATGGTCTCTTTTCTATGCAAAGTTTGTGTGCCCCTCGACCTACCGATGCTACGATGTAGACGTCTAGATGATTTCGCAATTGTAAAATACTCCCTTTCAAGATAGAAATGTTTAATCTGAGGCAGTTCAACATTCTAGCACTTTTTTTTCGGGCAGATTCTTGTCACGCCGTCTTACGACATTTAGAAGTTTGTTAGTTACACGCAAAAGCAAGCCCATAACTCGCCTCGGAATAACGCTAAGCAGCTAGTAACAGCATATTTGGAATCAGCATTCAAAGCCGATTCTAAACATATGTGTCCCATCTCAAAAGGCGAATCTAAATTGGTATCCCTCCCTTGTTAGTGAAACTTCACATATACCAGTCGAGGGTTCGACCAATTTTACTTTCAGATCTCCAAATTTGCAGCCCAAGAAGTCTATTGTTTGAATTATGTTGCCAGAAGTCATGTCTATGACACATTTGATGTCTCAGAAATCCTTAAAGATGATGTTGAAATTGAGCACCTGCAACGTGATTCAAGAAATGAAATTCTTTATATTGACTTGTTCGGAAACTCAGATATCGCACCATTAACACGTATAGAAATTTTATGAGCAAGTTATTCGATATTCCATAAACTTCCGAAAATTATAAGGAGCTGATTATGATTTTCGTAATCAGCTCCCTTTCAATAATAGTTTTTCATTTTCCACACCATAATTATAATGCTTTTTTTATCGCGAATGAGCTCAAGTCATTGCACACTGTCATGTTAGTATGCTTGCCGTTACTCTGAGTGCTCAATTTTCTACAGGGCTCAATGCCCGTCTCTAAGTGAACGCCTCTTGGCCTTTTGGCTCAGCAATGTAGTTATTTTACTGCTAATTTGTACTCACTTGAAAGAACTTTGTTTGAAATCTCGTGAATGAGCAGCCCACTCGAAGGTCTAGCTCTTGCCTTGCGTCGACTGCCTGTGCTTCATTCCGATTCGGCCGTACCAAGTTCTGCATGGCATGCTTGATGTCCTTATCAGTTATGGCAGAAAACCGAGCCCTGAGAATGATTTGTAAATTGTAACTGCTTGTTATGTGCTTTTTCTACGGTCTAATAGATCTGAAAATTTATACGGAACTCTTGCGAAACTTAATCGCGCGTGAAAAATGAGCAAAAGCAATTTTGTGCTTGATGGTCATTTTCTCGGAGGATGAGGAGGGGGGGGAGGGGAGGGGGAAAGTGCAACTCAAGGAAACCCTTAAAGTATACCGCCGTAGGTGTAAGCGCCCCATTTTGGCGTGCGATATGAACCGTCGCCTTCTGTCCCACATTCCCAATTTTACGCGCAAGTGCTGTACGCACCGCAGGAGCACTATAAGCCTTCAACGTTTCCAAAGCATACCTATACACATTCTTCATTATGTCTCCGTCTCGTGGCCTTTTCATAGAATTGCTGACAGCGTCCACCACCTAGAATGCATCATTATTTTTTTTTTATGAAGGATGCCTAGCATAGACGAAAAAAACCTCAAAACAAATGTTTTCTCCTTCCTTATCACAATCGAGCCATAAGACGAGGTAGTCAACGCCTTTTGCTTCGAAGGAAAGGTACTATAAGAAGGTTTTGGACTACTGTAACGAGAGAAGAGAATTTGCTACATCATTCATCCGCATCTTCGGATTCGCTTCGATCTTGTTAGTAGGAGCCGTATAAAGCTCTACAGGATCAACACGCTCCCAATTGTTAAATTTGGTGGGAAAGTCGAGACTCATCACATGTCCGCATGTGCTGGTAACCTATAAAGAACATTAGTTGGCTGAAAAGCGAACTGCAAAATAATTTGTACCTTGAAATAAGCGGGTTTCCCCAGAAATTGCCCATTGTACTCGCTTACAGAGCACACGCCATTTCTACCTGAAACGATGTGTTCAATTTCATCTACTCGATGCCAAAAAATGAGATGTCGAAAATTTCCACATGTGCCCAAAAAGATTTGCCTGGAGGATTACTGAAGAGCTGATTACCAAAACGAAACTCACATTGATCGCTGGCGTCATACTTAGGGACGGCAGTCTTACGGTAAAGAATTGAAACTTGCGTATATTTGCCAAAAAAAAAATGTTTTTGGAATAGTTTTACGCGAAAATTACGAATATTCTATCTACTTCGATCATCAATTTAGGGGACTACGATAATTGTACCCATGTGAATCTGGTGCGTAATGGGTACCGCAAGCACGATACGCTAAGCCATCGCTCGTGGTCAAAGATAGGGACTACTCCTGTTGAAAGTGATTTGTGGTAATGTAAATGGCCTTCATCAAAACCGATGCTGGTCTGTACCTTTACGTTTGGAAGCTGAGTTATTTGATAGAATTTTTGCTATCGAGTCTGCCAGAAGTGGCTTTTCTGCCACCATCATCACGGTGGCTCCAGACATTCTCCTTAAATTCTAGAGATAAGCTATCGTAACGGCTAAGTGAACTTCGGTGAAAAACTGTGGGAAATACCGACAATAACTAACAGCAAAAAAGACGATATCGTTTATTTCTTCCACAGTTTCTGAACTCAAAAATGAATAAAATTATTTATCATGTAAAAACAAGAAGGAAAATTATCACTTTCTTAACAATAACAATAACAGCAAGAATCAACAACAAGGGTTTAGATAAGTATGAAAATTAGCCATTAGCCATATCGAAATCTTGAGATCTTCATCTAAAACTAACAGGAGTGTCCTTAGGAAGAGGCCATTCATAGTCTACTTTGTCCACATCGAGATCAAGTATATCCACCTCTCCATTTGCCACGCCCAGGAGATCGGCGAGTGAAAGTCGTGTACGACCAAAGTCACCATGAACAAACTCTTTCACATATGTGCCAGCCTGAGTTTCGAGCCTGAAAACTAATTGCATGACTTTGTTAGTTTACATACATTATAGCACAATTCATCTTATGTTGCACTGATTGAACACCCCGGAACTGTGAACAAAAGAAAAATAAGAAAAGCAGCTTTTACAAAGTATTATTCCGAAGGTTAGAAAGGGCTAGAAAGAACAACACCGCCCAATCAATTCAGTGCCTACCATTCAGTTCAAGAAGTTGACAACAGTAGTTCCAAGAATTTGTAAATGTAATATCTTCAAACTAGTAAAAAATGACAAAAGTATAACGAACCTCAATAAGAAGTGATGACTGTCGATTGCGAGCATTTCCATACTGTAAACAGTTCGCGGACGCTCCAGTAACGATCGCCGTTTGAGAACTCGCACAGGGGTCTTTTGCACAACTTGTATAGGGGCTTGCTTAGCTGCCTCAGCCAGAGTCTCTTCTGTCAAGGACATAGTGCTGTAGCAATAAGCTACATAGCGTTTCCGTTTATCTGAGATAACGAATCAATGCAAAGATGAAATGAAAAAGTAAATATCGTCAAGGGTGAAAAAAGGGAAGTTGTTCACCTTCCTCGCCTACACTAATGAGATCAGCTTCTTCTCTCGAGATCCTGACAAGTCGCTTCACCTCGATGTCGGGGTTCAACCGATTGATTTCTGATTGGACATTCTTCAACGTTTCAATATAATTCGTTCTGGAATTGTCTATTGCAGACAAAAGCTGAAGGAAACTGCACACTTACCCAGACAGAGGTGCTGTAAAATGGCAATTCCGCAGCTCAACGGTGAAGGGCCTGCCATCACCTAGCATACGCACATCCATGTCTTCTCTTCCAGAAGCAACAAAACGAGCATCGGATGCAGAGAATTTGCTCCTCATAAGATCACATACTTTCTCGGAAACCTAAAAATCACAGATCCATGAATGAACGGCAGATGACTTTGATAACAGCATACCGAATGCCCAGGCACTTTCGGCGCTTCTTTATCCTCAGAGGACCATGGTGACTGCGGTAAAGTGCGAGAGTATTTACAGTATCTACCAGCTATGAATACGGGATCCCGTTCGAATGAGACCGAGTACGTACAAAAGCGAGACGGTGACGAGAGCTTGAACTTCCTGGAAGAGAAAATGACTTTTGGAACTGATAAATAATTAGATCCCCTCTTTGTTCGTGCTTTCACGCTGGAAGCTAATAAAAAGAGGAACAACAGAAAGAAAAGATAGATAAAAGCTAGAACAAGAAGGACAAACAAACCACACCTACTTGGCAATATCCTCCTTGATGCGTGATAACATCTGCTCCACCTTTATTTTTGTACATTGCGGTGTATCATTCTGCTGATAGAATTTCCTCTTTCTCGATTGTTGAAAATCGTTTGGAAAATGTGCTAGAAGAAACTCTGTATCATATTCGGTGAACTCATCAGTTTCAAAGGTGATAGTCAACTGTAGATCAGTGGCAAGCGCTGCTCGCATTCCGGACGCCTAAAAGAAGCGGGTACAAAGTGAGAATCTACTGAATATTATTGAAAAACGCAAAAAAACAAACGCGGAAAAGAACGTAGACCAAAAGAGTGTGCATAGGCTGGAGAATAACTGACAGACCTGTCTTAGCTTGGGTAGATAAGCGTCGATATTGCGGATTTTGTAAGGTACGGAAATGAGTATACCATTGAAATCGGGTCTTGATCTTCTGACGATTGTTTCTCGAAGAACTTGCGATATAGGTAAATTTAATGCCAACGTAAAAGCAGTGGCGTCGTAGGGCGACTCCTTGAGCTTCTTTCCAACAGCTTGTGCTACCTAGAATAAGGTCATCATTAGTTAGGATGGTCCTGATGGAAATTAGGGGGTGAAACTGCTTATTTGAAGCACTTAGTTTAGGTCCTACAAACTCTAAAGCTCAGTTTTCCAGGCATTTGAAAGCAGCTTCCAGGCAATTCCATACACATTCGTAATAAAAATTAATGGTACCCCTATTGAGACACTGCCCAAGCGAGAGCACATAAAATAAAAGAGGAATATAAGTTAGTTGAACTGCGTTGTTCCTTTTGTGTACTGAAAGCCTTCGGAAAAAGATGATAAAAACAACTAACCTCTTCTATGTAATCTTGATCAAGCAATCCAAAACAGAGAACACATTCGTAGGCCTTTTCGACAGTCTCCAGATTCTCGGTGTTTTCTCCCGCGATCTGACGGCAGCAGAGAGGGCAGAGCCGAACCACAGGCTTGTCCTCCTCCACAGCTGACATTCAACCCTAAAAAGACAGAGATGTGAGCCTTGTGATTTTAAAGCTAAAATGCATGGAAAAGACACAGACAAGGGTTCAAAGTTAGAACTTGGAATATTTGAAACAAAACTCACCGTGCAATAACATCCCGCCAATGACGCGCCCCACTAGAACTTTCTTGGACGACTGTCAAATGTGGTCTCGCACGGACGACGCAATGCGTGCCCTTTAATATTTTGTGCTGTTTTGCATAAGAGAACATTGTCACTTTTTTGCAGCTTGCATGTGTGTTTGTCCGTACAACTTCTTCGCACTTTAACTTAGGGGAAACTGGTAATATGCCGGTTAACTATGTGGTGTGTCATCTCTATCTCGGTGACATTTATCTATTTCTATCTCAGAAATGGCCAAACAAGGCCAAGAGGCAATGAAGAAGGCGCTTCAAAACGCCAGAGGAGCTGGCATGGGAGTGGGCTTGATTGCTGCGGCAGGAGCAGCTGTATATGGCGTTTCACAAGCTTTGTTCACAGGTTGGTGGCACCAATGCTATTTGGTTGAATGCTGCATTGTTTCTAAAGAAAAAAAAATCCGTCTATAAAGCGTTTTTGGCTCCAGCGTTTTATATGCTGGTATAAGTTTACAATCTAGCTCGGTCGACGTTGGTTCGTCCTTCAATTTCATACGAAGTTGCAATTGTAACGAATTTGTTGAGAATCATATGATCATCAGAATTATGCCTGTATAGTTTTTAGGAACTTTAGGGTTTTGCTTGGGGTAGTCGAAACCACAACTAAGGAAAAGTTGGTAGCATCGCTAGGTACACATTTTGGCGTAACTAAATGTGTGAAAGAGAAGAAAGGTTTCTATTCGAAAATGCGCAAGCAGCGCGGGTTTTCCTTCGTCACTAAAGCAAATAAAAACTTGAACAAAGTTATAGTCTTCATGGGAGGTATTCCCGACTCCCAGAGTGAGTCAAGTTTGGCACTCAGGCGTGGCAGCTGAAAGCGTAGCGGTTTTCATTGGCGCGAAAATTCGAAAAGCAATATTCAATGTTCAGTCGTCAAAGTAACAGACTTACCGAATGTCTGCAACCTCATCTAATTCAATCTGGAAGATGATAGAGTGGTTTGGCTGGTTATGAGAAGTTATCTCACGGATTTCTTCTTTTTGCGGCAGGATAAAATTTCGTCGAATTGGGTTGATTGCTTAGACAGTGATTCTCAACCAGTGAGATCGTCTGGTTTAGAGATATCGCAATTTATATGGAGTAAAGAACTTTTATCGCAAAAAAACACCTATCCAATAACAGCTTAGACAATTCGCGGGAACTTCTACTGGACAGGAAGGATTTGCAGCACTTTCACAGTATTTTGCCTGAAATGACTAGATTTTGAGCGTCTATGAACTTCACGGGAATTTGACATCAAAATGGCTGAAACGAGAACATCCGCATCACTTTCCACAAAAGGCTGTATCCTGAAAGTCCAGCGGAACTTCCGTTCATTGATCTGACAAGAGAGAACCGAGAGTAATTGTCGAAAATTGTGGAGGTTCATGGGGAATAGCTTTTTAAAGACATATTTCTAGAGTAGATTAGAACTTGTAAGTGGAATATCACGGACTTATTTATACCGATCAATTATCAAGCTCACATCGGTATATCGCCATTGTTAGAGAAATATCATTAACGTTTTGTAAGTTTGGTTTAGGCTTACTTACATCGGTAGTGTTGTTTACGAAATGTTATTACATCGTTATGGATTTTCAAATTATAAATTTTGAGCTTAAATAATGTTATTTTCAGTTGATGCGGGTCATCGTGCCATTATGTTCAATCGAATTGGAGGACTTTCAAATGATATATACAAAGAAGGACTCCACTTCAGAGTTCCTTGGTTCCAGTATCCCATCGTGTACGATATCCGTGCTCGTCCCAATCAGGTATGCATTTTCCTCAGTGTAGAACCATTTCGTAATGTCGAGGGCATTGTATAGGGGAGTGGCATGACAAAAATTTTTTGTCGCTGTCTTTGTGCATTTTGTTTATATCTGCTTTCTAGTATGTCTTGGATTTTCATTTCAATATGTGTAGACCATTGCCACAATCTTATGTCTATTTAGATCCGATCTCCTACTGGAAGCAAGGATCTGCAAATGGTGAACATCGGCCTCCGAGTTTTGTCTCGACCTAACCCCGAACAGTTAGTTCGTATTTATCGAACTCTCGGTTTGAACTGGGAAGAAAGGCTCCTCCCGTCAATTTGCAACGAGGTCAGTTGCCATCTTCTGCTTACATTACATCTGTTTTTACTAGGAATTTTTCAGGTGCTCAAAAGTGTAGTAGCAAAATTCAACGCGTCGCAGCTCATTACTCAACGACAGCAGGTAAATACTTTTGTGTTGTTAGCATTTCACAGACTTCCAGAACTTTTGCACCTTTTTCTTACGATTGGTGATCATCTTTCCATGGTCTATGGATTGCTTCTGGTCACCGAAGCCAATGTAGTAGATATGTTTTCCTCTAAAAAGGGATAAATGGAAACTGGTAAAGGATCTTGGAACTTCCTACTATAAAATTATCATTTAGCATTTGTTATGTCTCCTTCTTTTGGAATATTGGGAATTCGCTTTTTTTGCGCAGCATGCACTTACCAAGTGATCATATTGCACTTTGGCATATAGCGCTTTTTTGTCGTTTTTTTTCATGTTTCTGGAGTTACCTTTTTTGCAGAAATGACGTTTTCTGTCATCGTTTTCGTTTGGCTAGTCAGTGTAACAAAGCTGATTATTTGTGCAATTAGACATCAGCTGTAATACAAACAATATTGTCAGTATTGACTATCTGATCATCAAATAATATGTCTAGGTCTCAATGCTGGTTCGCAAAGCGCTTATTGAACGTGCTTTGGACTTCAACATTATCCTTGATGATGTTTCACTTACTGAGTTAGCTTTCTCACCACAGTACTCAGCCGCCGTTGAGGCTAAACAAGTAAGAATCTCCAACTCAAACAAAAGGCTTTCCAAATTTATCTAAAGATTCTATAGGTAGCAGCGCAAGAAGCTCAGCGAGCGTCCTTCCTTGTGGAGAGAGCTAAACAACAACGTCAAGAGAAGATTGTCCAGGCTGAAGGAGAGGCAGCATCAGCAAAGATGGTTTGTTGTTGTTTCTGCAGGCAAAATGTTATTGTCGGTTCTTTTTGGTTCGAAAACTAGATTTTCTTAATTATTGTCGGTATCTTGGCAAACTTTGTAAATGTTGAAAAGTTTGTTGTAAAGGACGACATAGATCATAGTGGAAAAATATACTGCAAGCTTTGGCTAGCTCACAAAGCCTGTTATCTCTTATCCTACAGACCTTGTAATCGATCTTGCGGTTTTTTTTTGAGTTTGTTGATATTTCCTCATCGAGCTGATTTTAGTTGGGTGAGGCCATGAAGTCAGATCCTGGATTTTTGAAGCTGAGGAAAATCCGCGCGGCACAAAACATCGCTCGAGTTGTGTCCGAGTCGAACAACAATAAAGTAAGTTTATTATTTACTTCTTCCTTGAGTAAACAAACGCTGAAATTCCCAGGTCTATCTTCCTGCCGGTGGCCTGATGTTGAACATTGCTGATAGTGATTACATGGATATCAACAACGGAAAAACAACAACAAGACGATAACTGCTCATACTTTTGCATCTCCTCTAACGTGAAGCAAATTCTTTTTTGTCTGTTAGCTTAGATTTTTAGTTACTCTGTCGGTTTGTTATAGTCTAGCATGTTGTTACTTTATTCTTGCGATATTAGTTGGATGAACACTGAATATAATCTTTATTCACTAATCACTATGGCTACTCACAGAATCATGGAAGGACAAATTATTGATTAAGTCCATATGTACAGACAGATAGCGGGAAAGATGTTTAGTAAAATCAAAATTTTCTCTTTGACTGTAAAATGCTCCGATTCAGCACGACTACATCTGAATCGAATAAACAAATTGACAAGTATACGGAACTGACAGTTAATTTTCTACTGGGCAAATTATTTGAAAATTCCCCTAAACACGTTCGAGTCTTTTGTGACAGACTAGAATCGTTCTCTGAGCTGTGATATACGATCGAATGCTGCGCGATTAAAGTTTGCTTTCTATACTGTCCTTGAAGCAGGATTTGATATCGTTCAACACTCCCCAACATGGTAGCATGGATACGTCGGCCTATAATGAAGCGATAAACGATTTCTTTTGACTTCACCCTCAATAAAATGGTCATTGCCCGAGCGGCTAATCGGCCTTATTCATCGGATATGAGACACATTTCGATACAGCATCGTAAGCCTGTTTCGTTATCGTTGCTTTGCTGTCTAAAACTCATATTCGCTGCTGCTGCTGCTGGCGGGCAATCAGGTTGCCACCAGATTCAATGGCGGGAAACTTGTCTAGTCGGCGCCGTTTTGTTGCGCATTGTCTGATTTGGTCAGTTTCATCGCTGACGTTCGCTGGCAGTAAATTATGCAGTGGCGCTCGATGCAGATAAGCTTTTAGAACAGTCTCCGTAGTTAGCCTGTGAACCGGTTGAGCAGGAGTGGCGCACTAAATGACAGACATTCGGCATTTGGTGTCGCGTATGCAAAATTGAACGCGGAAGCATGTTTCAACGAGAACTGAAAGCAACAACCGTCAGTAGAGATAGTTTGAAGCAGTTTTCGAACCGAAAAAGGGAGAAAACAGCCACTGCGAACTCTAGCGGATGGTGAGTTTAATCTTACTTACACGACACCAAATGCCAAATGCCTGTCATTCAGTGCGTCACTTCTGCTTCTGAGCCGGTCTACAGGTTGAGTGGCGCGCTGCTTGTTGCACGCAGTTCAGTTTTTGAGCCGGACAGTTATGTGGATTTGACTGACTATCAGTTTTTTCATCGAGACTTGAGGTAACGCTTGTTCTAATCAACAAAACGTTGGTATCCTCTGTTTCATATACAGTGCCAGCCGGTGCGGCTTGAGTACGCGGCCTCGCCCTGCGGCGCGTCGGCTACATCCTTCGGGCGTTTTTTCATGCCTGAGAGGCGAATGAAACCTGTTAGATAGCGGATTGTGCTGACGATAGACGCAGACGCGGCGCATTAGAAGCAAGATGGCCGCGCTAGACCCAAACCGCACAAGCTGGCGACATTATTACTGAGACAGAGTGTAACTCCCGGCTTATTATTGAGCACCTCACCTGGAAGTTAGCTCCCGGCTTCATATTGCAAAAACCAAGGCATTTCTCTCCAGCTGTTGTCGTATGGACTCCGCGTTCCCGGCAACAAGTTGTGTGATCATCGGACTGCGCTGCACATTGCAGAAGATCGAGACCGTACGATTGCGGACATGGATCGGTTCCGAGGAACATGCCCGTCAACTGAAATTGAAGCAAAGTGATCTTTGAGCTTTGCTGATGACCCAAAATGCAATGACTTACCGTCTTCTTGTTCAAAATATCGAAATTGCAAATTCGCTCGCATGACTTTGCCACCTTTGTCGCTTTGCAGCAGCTCAGGAATACTGCGTTAGCGCTCTGGAAAATAGGAGCTCAGAATTTCTTGTCCATTTATGAATTCAGGTTTGAACCATACCTTAGCAGTGCTTGCGGGAATAACAACGCTTTTTGCTGGAATGACAATGGGCTGAGGTTTAGCGACAATCACTGGTGCTCGAGTAGTTCCGATTCTTAATGTATATAGATCATAGGCAAAAGCTAAGTATGTAAAATTAATGATTCAAGAATCTCAACATAAAAACTTCTTTCAAAAAGTTTCTATACAGATTCAAACCTTTTCTTTAAAATTTAAGAGTGAAAAGCAAACATAATTACGACATTTCTAATTACTTGAAAGAACTCATAAAAATTTTGTAATATGTCCACTAGATAAAGCTAGTAATAATTTTGGATTGATATGTTTCAAATTCTATATACAAAAAATTATGAATGAACTAGGTATCACTTTATTACAATCGAATACAGTATTCTCACATGACCCCACATATAACATTTATACAAGAGAAAAAGCTACACAAATTATTGATTGAGAATTTTCGCAAAGATAATAAAATGCAGACCGGAAAAGTTAACAGTATTCCTCTTATATATGCTCTTCTAAAATTACACAAAACATCTGTCAAATTCGGATTTACAACGGGAGCATACGACAGTATCAAATCACTAGCTGTCGAAATGAAATTAATATTCACATTTATCGCATGCCATTTCAAAAGATACTTAAAAGCCATAAGAAATAGAAATCATAATTTTTAGGGCTACTGGTCTAGATAACACTAATATTAGCGAAAGTCTAACAATTATCATCATTAAGAATATGCAGGTTTATTCAGTCGATTTTACGAATATGTTTACTAGCCTACCGCATGATATTATAGAATCTGATATAAAAGAATTACTTGAACTATGTTTCAGCAATGCAAATGAAAAATACACAGCAAACAGAAAAAATAAAGTTTATAATAGTAGTAATATAACGCAATTAAATACAAAAGCTATATTTTACACCATAAGGTCTAATATAACGTGGATTATATTTTGGATAATAGTTTCTTTCGCCTCAGCATTTACACGTTAAAACAAAAATTGGCGTTCCTTAAGTTGGGAACTTTAGCCCACTGTTAGAAGATCTTACATCTTTTGGTATGAATATAAATATTCCATTCAGACTATCACCAATAATAACCTAATATTCCCTTATAGATATGTGGATGATTCACTGCTTATTTAGAATATAGAGAAAATGACATTGATGAATTAGTGAAGGAGATTTATGACTATAAGCAATTAGAAGCAACACATACCAACACACATCAATGTAACTATCGAGTTGAATATTCAAATGAAAAACAACAATTAGTAAGAAAAAAACCATTATAAAACCGATCACTTTGATTTCGATGAAAAAGATTTATACATTCTACATCCGATATTTCAATCAATATCAAAAAACAACTATATACCAGAAACTCTCTGAATAGCAAGAACATGTACTTATTCAACCGATTTTGTACAAAAAATCACAACTCAAAGATGTTTTGATCAAAAATGGATATAATGTTCGTACAATATCTTCTATTTTTAAATGCCTTAACAGAAATCCATTCATACTATGTAAGTACAACATTTTGAACTACAAATCTAGTAAAATTTTAGAATCGAAATTTTAATACCTTGCAAATTATGCATACAAATTGATTACGAACAACCAAAAAATATAGTTGATGTTATAAATGATGTATTCCAAAATGATGATATAAGAAACAAACATGTTTTTGTTATATTATGACACAGAACTAGTTTATTCTTTCACCACTACACACAGAAAATTTTTTCTTTGAAATACTTTTTTTTAAACATCTATTCAAAATTGTCTAGACCCTCCCTCCTTACTGAAGAGTCCCGGAGAGTGTCTGGAAGCTTCGTCTAAGAGAAGGGACGGAGCGGAAACTTACAATTTTTTTATTGTGTTTGTGGATCTAGAGTTGGATATCCAAGGTGGAAACTTATGTAAGAAAAACTCATTGTGCCATCTTCTCCCCCCCCCCCCCTCTGAAGGAAGTCTTTTCCCCTTCTTCTAAAGGAGACCCTCAACCGCCACTCAGGTACAGTATGAATTTGACGACCAATATAGTGTTAGTGCGGTGATGACAATATTTGCTCGTGAACATAGTGCCATGATTACCGACAACTTGCACTCATGCGCATGTAATGGCCCCACAATGCCACTGTTTACGCACAAGTGTAGTCGGCAATAAGATTTCTATGTCATTAAATGTACTAACATAAATTATAGGTCAATCATGAAATTGTAAGATTACGGTCACATGCGTCGCATGCGATATTTTCAGCAACCGCGTTTTCTTTGCTTATATAATTTCGAAGCATTTTTTGCATGCATACGATAGCGCTAAATAGTTGAATTGACTGAGCTGAGCGCTAAAATTTTGAAGGCTTCTTCCAAACAGTGGAAAAAGCAATATTAGTTGAGCGCGCGCGAACGCGGCGCGCACATACCTTCACCGCCAATCTGCGCCTCATGCGCTCTGCGGCTAATATAACCGCATTCTCGCCTTTAGATTCTTGCCTCTTCGTCCGGCAGTAGACTTTGGCCAGGAATATTTCGTGAACAAAATAAATGCGGGATATTATCAATACCTTGCTTGCGGTTGCAGTTGCGGCTGCGGCCTTTGAATGACAGGTCGTCGATTAGTTGGCCTTTGAATGACTGCTTTGGTTTGAATCACTCGTCTGAACTAAAATTGAGGAAGTTTATTGGGTTCGATCCTCGCTTCTTATTTGTAGCTCACCTCAACAGGAGTGGTCCTAGCGGTATTCTCAATGTAGCTAGGATGATGTCCGTCAAGCTTTTCCTCTGCTCCGTAGGCTCCTTCAGGAAGTGACTGAAAAGTAGCGTTTACGTAAAAATTGAAGCTGTGCAAATGAAAAGCCAATTTTCTGGTGGAAGCTGGTGCAAGCTCAATACATCACACGTCCTGATTTTGTGATAGCTACGAATTGTTTCGTATATGCGCAGTTTGTCGCAGTTGACAATTCTTAATGATCTTTTGCTCGAGACAAAATGATAAACCTGGTGTGTATTGGAACTCCAAGTGAATTGCATTCAAACGAGAAAGTTTAAGCAGCTTTGCTGTCAAGCTTTGCTAGAATTTATTTTGGAGTAGGAGGGAGATGGTGGTACAAATTCGGATAGTGCTCTTGCTGCATAATTCATTGGCGGGTCAGGATTTCCGTTCGGGAGGGAGGGGGGGGTATACCACAACTTTTTTGGATGGAACTGCGTGATGTTAACCACACATTTCGAAAATTCGTTGTGGGATGCTTTCTCAAATTCTTGGGAGTTTATAGCTTCGAAAGTTCGAAAAAGGGAGCTTGGCGGAAACCACACGCCGAAAATTCTCTTACAGGGCTGATTTGATTTTGAAAAATTTTAAAATCATCCATATATAAATAAAACTGAAACTCTGTAAATTTGTTCGTTAGTAAGTATGTGGCTTATAGACTCTTTTGTGTGTGAACCGATAGGCTAAAATTCGCCCCCTATAAATAAGGCACGGCGCACAAAATGGCCTACTTTTGCGGCGATTTGATGGGTCCTTCAGTCGATTTATTGATTTGTTTACTTACATCGAGGGTTCATCAACCATCGTAGGATCATTTCCTCATAGTCATGTAAGTCGGACGGTAAAGTTCATTTATATCTCTCGGCGAAAAGTCTCCGGTGTTTCAAGTCAGCAAGGAAAACATATCCTATCACATTTTCGTCGCCGACAAGGAGAAGGGCGGTAAGTCTTAAGGCGTTGGGATCAAGTAGCCCAATTCCCGGGCGGAACTTGGGACGCCATCTAGTTTTAAATAATTACTAGTATGAACAAGTGACTTGCACATTCCTATAACTCGTGTAAGTAACTAGAGATTTCGCGAACTCGGCACTCTCTCCCCGTCGGTCCGACACAATGACGAAAAGAGTGTATGTGCGAATTGATCTTTCAAAAGTGGTCTGCATCAGTTTCAGAAATCATGCAAGGACCTTGTTTCCACCTAAAAGTTATCAAAAGTTTATTGGGTTGTAAAGAAAGTTCCCGGGCACTTGCGAAATTTTTTCAAGCTGTAACTTAAAGGAGAATAATCCTTTTTGAGTGCTGCAAATTTAGCTGCAAATGCAATGCCGTTAGTTGGTATGCCTATCTTATTGGGTCCTCAGCACTTCGTTTCGGACCACGAGCATGCGCAGTAGGGAAAAAGGTGGAGTTGAATGTTAGTGCACAAATTCTAGGCATCAACAAAGCTGGAGAGCTCGTATTCGGTGGATATGTAGAACTCTGCTGGGGCAGTTTAGAGGATGTGTCATAATTTCAGAGCACAGGTAAAAAATATTTTTGAAAAGTTTGAAAAATCGACCATTTTTGCACCCTAAAAATAGCCCATTTTTTGAGTAGATGAGTTCGAAGTTTTCCTTTTTCCACGAAATGAATCAAATCTTTAATTGCTGCAAATATTGTTGCTGTAATGTCATGCACATCTTTTGGGCCCGTCGCCGAGGCGTGACGACCCTCACAAAATCGGCGCCAACTGCGAAGACGGGCACGGTCAAAGGCGGCTTGAGAGCTTGAGAGCTTGTAATACTTGTGGGTATATTGTAAAATCCGAGCACAGCTGTGGTTCTGGAGTGAACGGCCTCCTTAATCAAACTAAACAAGTCTCGGGGCCGCATGCATTAACATCCGCGCAGAGGAGGGGATCGCAGCTAAAAAGAAAACTTCATATCTTGGAGCTCCAGATATCTGGATTTCACGCTGTCTACCTATCAGCAAGTATTCCCACCATGCTTCACTATGAGCATATTGAACGGGAGCGAGAAGCTCTACTGCATTGAACGGAAGCAATGAATCGCATGTTCCAGCTTTTTGTATGATCCCCTAATGATCCGTGGCTGCCGACCGTCTTTTCCGCAAAGTAATTTTTTTGAAATTAATGAAAGCATTTCAATGTTGTATTGCTTATGCCACCCAACAGGTGCTAAGAATGTGCTGATAACAACAAATGATGTTTTGGAGTCATGATTTTCGATGAATTTGCTTTATCGAAGGATTTTGGCTGACCTAGTGCTTGTTATCCAAATAATTCGCCTTGAAACAAAAATTGCGCTTAGTGAATTCTGGGTTTGGAGACCGTGCAACGGCCGAACAGGTGGGTTTAGCTTTTATTGCATTGACTCTACTACTCCAAGTACGCTCTTCTACCACTCTTTTCTTGCGCGCACCTCTCGATGGTTGTAAAAGCTTCCCGATACAGTTCTCTCTGATCCACATTTAAGCGTTTTGAGAAAAAAACTCCTTAATTTTGATACTTTGAGATTGCTGGGAGATGAAACTGAGTGCTTTTGAGATGTACCTTTGTCTTACTGCTATTCTGTTTGAATTTCGAATTATACTCAGTTTTGGTGCTTGGACTGGTACTTATTCAATTCCGCTTCGCAGGACACTGACTTGAAGGCAAGACTCACAATCTCTTGACTCAAGAGAAGTATGTTTTCTTTATTACTCTAAAGTATTGAGCATGTCGGTTCGTTTCGTTGCGTGTCTTTAATCTGCGCACTGTTCATGAATAGTGCATCAACAAGTGAAGAAACAAATATTTAACCCACTATTGGGTTAGATAATTTACGACTTTGGCACTCGTTCATTGTTGTGAAGGAAGAAAAATGAGTTTGAAAAAAGACGGTCGGCCTCCGGGAATCATCAGGGGATCATTCAAAAAGCTGAAAAATGCAGCTTGTACTGCTTCTCGCTTCTGTTCAATATGTTCATAGAGAAGGATGGTGGGGATACTTACTGGTAGGTAGACCGCATGAAATTAAGATATCTGGAGCTTCAGAATATGGAGGTTTCTTCTGAAGCTGCGATCCCGTCCCGGAGGGGATGTTGATTGACCGGCTTTTAAATGGTTCTCTTTGTTTACTGCGAAGAAATGGCAGCAAAAATTGTAAAATTTACACTTGCACAACTTTCTTTTTTGATATGTAAGTCAAACACCGCTTGTCATCCATAAAACTAGATGCGACGTTGAAAAGCATGGATTTTCTTTTGCAAAACCATATGTATTATTTGTCACTGGGTTCCTTCATACTATGCCGCAGGACGCGGCAGCCTGCCGGCATAGTATGGAAGGAATTTTAAGATTTAACGAGTGCCAAAAAAAGGGCTTGAAGATGAAATTCCAAAACTGCCCGGAAACGTTCTTTACAGCTTACTAATATCTCACATGTAAAGCTGTATGTATTTTGTATATATGTCTGCCTGTCTGTACGTATGTTCCGAACAAAAATTTTTATTCTGAACCGATCCGGACCAAACTTTACATACATGGGGCGGGGCGGGTGTCATAAGCTACTTTTCGTCATCGAGCGATATCGATATTGATTTTTCAGGAAGCTTCGGCTACGGGATTGGGAGTTGGAACAGGAGGGTAGTGAGCATGTGCTGATTACGATGCTGCACTTTTTTCTCTAATCATCCGAGCTATCAAAAAACTATGGGGGAGAAGGCAATAGGGATCTGCGCACCCCTCGTGGTGGCCCAAACTGCAAGCCTGAAAAATGGGAAAAGAAAAATTGTGCGCGCTTCCACAACCCTCCCAGTAGTTGTTGCCCATCACTGTTACGTCATATAGTGTCTGATTTCAAACTCACAGGCTAGTAGATTTTCCATTCAATAGTGTGCTTGCACAGTTTATGAAATGCGGTAAAATTTGCGCGTGAACAGGTAGCTGCGCTAGCACTGCCTGCGCGCGCAATTGGCCGGCGTCACAGTCAAAGCTACCATTTGATTCAACTGGCTTGGCATCGGCAAAGGCGGGGCTTCGTGACCTAATTAAGGCTAGGTAATGATCAGAGGGACGTGTAGAAGATACGTCCCTCTGATCATCATGATTCTTCTATGCGTCCCTCGACTGGTCGGTCATTTTGACCGCTCTTCCCCACCCTACCGAACGTAGAACCCTTGACTCAGGAAGGCCCGGAACAGCAGGATTAAGTATGTTCCACCCCAAGAACGACTGTATAAACATTGGAACATTCAACGTGAGACGCCTGTCAAACGAAGTCCGACAGCTGCAAAAAGCCCTGAAGAGAGCATGACTCGATATGGCCCTAACGAGATGGAGAATGAATTCCAGAAGAAGCTTGGCACTTGCAATACGCAAAGAGTAAGATCACTCACGTTAGAAAAAAAGGATCAGTTTGTTTGGGTGCCGCATATTGTAATAATATGAAAGGCAAATAAATCATCATCATCAAATGATCAGAGAGCACTCGCGCGAGAGAGACGCAGGTGCGTCGCGGGCGCGAGCGGCCTCAATTAGATTACAAAACCCCGCCCTAATGGTGCCAAGCCAGTTGAATCAAAGGTTATTTCTTCAGGCGCAAATTCCACCGCATTTCATAAACTCGCAAGCACACTATATTAAGCGGAAAATCTACTTGACTGTACAGGCTGCTGCACGACGAAGGCGCAATATCTTTGTGCGCGAACACGACTTTATTAGCCGCAGAGCGCATGAGGCGCAGGATTCAAAACGCTCGCGCCGCGTTCGCGCCCGCTCAACTAATACTGCTTCTGCGCCTTCGTCATGCGGTAGCCTTTACATGAAATGGGAAAGGGAGAGGAAGTGGGGTGAAAAAAACTACAGTGCCTTTAGCAAAGACGATATGAGCGAAAGTGCCTAATTGCCGTTGTCTTCTGTGTTGGGTGCAAAAGCTCTGCTTGGTGATCTAGACATGCCATAGCACAGGATAGTAAAAACCAAAAGGGAAGCGAGTGAGTATAGTTTGCGTGCACCTTTGAGGAAAATATGCCAGCATGCGTGTGTGGGTATACTCTCAACACTGTTGATGTCGGAAAGTGAAAAGCCGCTAGTTGTCGCTGCAGAAACTTCCCCTTACCCCAGTGCTACCCAACCATGACTTTTTCACATCCCCGGACATCTCACAGTACCTCGCCTACAAGAATTATCGTGGGCTTCTTTGTTGGATGCGGTCGATCGGGCAACGGTTTGAAGTAGATATCAGCAAGATGCGGATGGAATCTTTCCGGTGGAGATGGCACCCGAATCTATAGCGTGGCGCGCTTAGGGCCATAGTTTGAGCTGTCGAAGGGTGCTAAAGTTCACTTACTCTTTGATGTACGGAAAGTTGGGGCTCGATTGGCTGTGGTGGGAACCGCTCGTTCGACATTGGTTTGCTCACCTATAAAGTATTTGCTGAGTTCAGAAAAATTGAACTCTTTTTCCCACACAACCAGAAATGAAATAGATAGTCACGTGAAGTTTTCTAAAGGGAGAGAGGTATTCGTGTGAGAGGCGATTAGCCACTCTTCTCACAAGGGAATAGTCAGAAGTCGAAGTGCCCAATCTAAACAAGCTGCATACCGTGCTGCAACATAGAAAGCTGATTTCAAATCTGCCTTCCATATGTGCAAAACGCCTTTGTAGGCGAAGTTATTAGCAGCTTCACTGCGAAAAAATCTACACAAAAATTGCGAAATTAGGCACATTATTGCTCTTTTAGCTCACCAGATACGGGTCATACGAAATGACCTACTTGCATGTTTTGGTTCAACACTGAGCCGAGAATGGCTTTGTACGGCCAAGTTTGCCCTTTACGCACAATTTCTTAGCAAATTAATGGCCTTTAACGGTTTATAATATCATCCACAAAAATGCGCAGATAAGGAAGACAGATTTAGAATAAGCGTTTCATGCTAATATCTATCAAATGGTATGCAGTTTGCTTGATTTGGCCACTTCGATTTCTGACCATTCCCTTATCAGTATATCTGGTAAGCTTACTTCTGTAAGCTCGCAATCTATTTTGGAGAAAATAGGTGTTGTGTTAAAGCGTCCTCAAAAATTATTATCAAAACCATCCAGGCTATCTCATCTGCAGTGTCGAGCGCACCAGTAGCTCGGGTACCGTGCGGCCGCCTCTCCTGGACTCTGCGTCGAGTTTGCAAATGTTCTCTCTAATCATTTTTCCACGCATGAGCTGGGAAAGGACTTAGATTTGATTTTCACTACAGGCGGGGAGAATGGTCAAACGCGTTCGCGAACCCAGTGCAAGCCCAAGCGAGGCGACCGCGCGTGAGCCGAGCTGCTACTGCACCCGACACTGACTAAGGTAACCTGGGGCAGTATTTATCAATCTCCCGCACGCTGTTCGGGAGCTTTCCATCGTTATACACGGCCCGGACAGGCAAGAGTGTCCGAACCGTGATTTCTGTGTGTCTATTTAGCATGGCCTGAACGGGCAGCAGAGCCCGATCTGTCGAGATCGGGCCTGCCGTACCCGACATGGCGAACCTTGCCAGATCGGATTCTTGAACCAACGCAGTGTCTTAGGTGAGATCCAGGTAGTATGATGGTGAAGGGAATTTCCGATATCTAATGTTGTTCATTCCAGCCTTCAATTTTATACCATTTACACTTTTAGATTGTATTCTGTATGTCACTGATTTTTACTATTCACATTAAGCCAAAAAAGGCTTTTAATACATTTCTGCGTTTTCAACTTTTTCCACTGCTATGAATTGCCGTACAACACAAATTATCCAAGGAATTATGGTAATTAGAACAAACTGGCCGTTTCTAACACTCCCTATGAAAATGATCCTAATCCCTCTTTTTTACTGTACAGTTGTTAAAATGATTACTAAATGTGCATATAAATGCAAAATGTACTCGTTGACCGGAAAAAAGAGAAAAACAATAAAAAACGATGGGTTTTCATGTCTTTACCATATGCAAAGTTTACGCCGGCAGACGTTCTTGATATGCGCCTGTACGCGCTGATGGCGTGCTGCTCTCCACAGTGGGTTCTCGAACAGTTATGAGAGGATGTGCGGGATATTGATAAATACCGCCTCTAACCATACCGTTTGCAAAGTACACCAAAATTTACAAAAACTAAAAAAAAGAGGAAAGCTAAAAATTTTTGACCCGTAGGAACAAGGAGGAAGGGGGGGGGAAGGTTAAAGGCAAAGGTGCTTCTCTTCAGACTCTTAACTATAGGATATATTGGGCTGTTGCAAAAATAATGTCCGTTTTACTAGGCCTTCTTCCCGAACAACTTTTTTCCTTCAAAATTTCTTTTTTGGTATAGATTTTGTATATCACTGGAAAGCTTTCCTCATGTACTTTCCAAAGCAGTGAGATTAAGCTTCGTCTTATTTGTGAATTCCGTTGCTTTAACTTTCGTGGACACAATTTAAGCGCGAATGAACGAATTCTTTTGAGAACATAGCTACTGTCTTGGTTGACCATTATTCACCCCTATAGCATGTTGAGTAGGTTTTTCGAAAATATGTAGAGAGAGAAATCTACGCTCCGAAAAAGATACTTGCTGCTGGCATTCTATGAGTTCAAAGTTTCTCATAATTAGGGCAATCGCCGGAGCTTCGCTCATTGCTTGAAGTCAGGATATCGTGATTACAACTTTTGAAAAAATTGCTATTTATCGCATGAAGAATTCCAAATTTTCATAGTTTGGGGCCTTCTAACCTACCATAAATAATCTCAAAAAAGTGAACAATATTGGATTCCTATCTTTTTATTTTACAGGTTCCCTTCGTTAAAGTTTCTTGCAGAAGTATACTACTAATTTGGGTCTACAAAATAAGACGATCAACAGCCATAGGAATAAAATTTGGAGAAAGTTGTAATCTCTCAAAGACGAGGTCTTTAAAGGAAAAACTTCCGGTTTTTTGACGCATGATTTTCTTCCCGTTTGCGATATCAGTATATGCAGATGCGCGTTAGGTTACGAAATGTTTACTGTTTCTGATGGTCTTAATTGCATCCAAATTATGGAGACTGAACAAAGTTATAGCCTTTCAAATTAAAAGTTTGTAAAACAGACACTATTTATGCAACCTAATACATTGTATCAGAAACCTCTCACACCAAAAGAATACCAACGAACTAGGGACATGCAACAAAGAGATTAACATAAAGTAATGTAATGTCGAATGTAATGAGAGTAATGTCGCTTTTTTCAAAAGAACGTCACATATCGTGGAAGCAAGATTTTCAAGAGATCTCGGAAACTGTCGATTTAGCATTTCATCCTCTTTCTAATGGTTGTAATTCATTGCTAATATTTAATGAGGTGTCGAAAAGTTGACAAGATCTGCGACTCATGCTTTGTTCGGCTATTTCTCTAAATTTTTTTTGCTGATTCCCCAAACATATCTTCGAGTCATACTTAACCTTCATTTTGAGCAACATAAAAGAACACAGCCTTCACCGGGTGTTATAATCTTGACTAAATCGAAGTGAATGTAAAAGAAGCAAAAATAGGTAATAATATCTTTAGGTAATTTAAGCGAAACCGAGAATTTGCGTTTTTATAGCCTTTTATGCTAAAAAGGTTTCTGTAAAAACTTCCACACAATTCAGAACAACATTTCTCAGTTAACATTTTGACTGAAATTAAATTTCAGAATTTCAGGAGCTGTTGGAGTTGAACAAAAATGACAAACTGCGCTTAAATTTTGCGCAGAGAGTCTCACACGAAAATGTTGGCCTATCTCGTTGATGAGTGATTTCCAACGCCTGGAACTTGTCAGTGCTCCTAGTCCCGTCATGATGATCAGAATGATATGTAATCTTGCAGGGTTTCGTCAAAACCCCGCGGAAATCTACGACCAGAGCCAAATGTCCCGTCGGTCGGCTCTGATTTTTCTCCTCTGCTCGTCTGCGTCTCCGCCCGCTGCGCGCTATGTCGCTACCGCAAACGCGGGGCACTGGGCATTTGGCTGGTACTCTTTTTTTCGTTATTCTAAACCCGACTCCAGCAAATTGTATGTCATATTAAAGCTCTTGATCTCTACTTTCACGACGATAACGTCTCAAAACTACATTTTTTGGTTTTAACGAGAATTCTGGCGAACACCATGCTTTCGAAAATTCCTTGTTTTTCCCCTATTTCAACTTTTCACGCGTTTTTCGTTCTATAGATCTTGCTTTGTTCATAATGTAGACAATGACGCAGCGTACTCCTTCAATTAATGCGGAACTTTCTGTGAAAAATCGTAAAAGTTCGTTTTTCTTTATGTTGTTCTCTTTTAGTGTTCTCCAATTTTTTCCAGCTTGGACGATTATTACCAGAGTTGGGCAAAAGGTCAGGCGCAAGCCATTCGGAAACGACTCCCCCCTTTCCAGGAAAGCCCCCAAACGATCCCCTCTTAATCCTCTCCACCTCCGGAACCGAGTGTGACACTCCGGAGAAGACGAGTCTGTCCTGTAGAGTTTTTGGATCTTAGGAGCTGTATGATCGCTTATCTGTGATTGTACATTACAAGTACACGCAATTTGACGGCGGATTTTGATGTAAATCGCTCTATTGAACGAGCCAGAATTTCCCCAGGGGTGGAGTGTTTTGCTCCAAATTCTCACTGAGGCTAGAAGAAGCTATGAGCTCAATACTCATACCAGGAATGGACTGATTTCTGAAATTTGAAGACAAGTTAAGTGGGTCAGGCGCAAGGCTACTACAAAAGCTCAGGCAGCCTGACCTTTTGAGGGGTTGCGCCCGACCCCATTAACTTTATCTCCGAAGACGCTTTTTCATCCAAGCATTATGCAATTCGCCAGCACAAACCTCGAACATTCAGTAGGTTTTTGAGCTTAGCTTGATTTGTTTCGGCTTTGTGGTAATCCGCGGAGTTGACGCGCTCAAGGTGAAAAACGCGATGTTTGGAATATTGACAGTACTTCCTCATTCACTATTTAAAAGCGATATAAATTCTATTTTTTAGTATAGACTGATAGGGAACATTACTTTGTTATGAGTATAAAAAAGCTGACTTCTTTCACTTTTGAAACCAAGTTAATCATGTTTGAATTTCAGGCTTTTTAGACGATAGAAAACGCTAGGAAATGTAATAAGCAATGGTCTGTTGCTAGTAGAGGAGATTTGATATGCTAATTACGGAAACTATACTCAATTTACACAGCAAGCTTCTTTGCTGACCTTAGTAGTGTCAGGTAAGGGATGGAGAATTGAAATTTGACTACTTCGATGGAGTCAATTACTATGCTGGTCATGACAGTCATTCCTTCAATTCTATTGGTGTTGTGATATGCATCGGTCTAGTGCTTTCTTCACCTTACTCAATCGTAGTATTTCCTTGGTTTTGAGCGAATTCGATTCTTTATTACGACCCCCCCCCCCCTCAGTCTTACCACCATTACGACCCTCCAGGTCGGGCGCGCCTGACCTCACGCTCAATCCTGGTTATTACTCAGAATGATGTGCGCAACAATCCAGACAACGACCCAGAAAGAGGAAAGACAATGCGGGGTTAAATTAAAGAACGCATCAAAATTAAATTGGCCTTGACGTGCATTTCGACTTGATATAAAAGAAAATTTGCGTTTTTATAAGTAATTCCTTTCTTGTTTATCTTCCTTTATAATCAAAACTTCCGAAATAGGTATTTTTTGAAACAATCGAAAAAGAAATTAGAAACTTTTTTGTATTCCCCGCGTTGTGTTCCTGGTCGAAAAAAAACCTGCCGCCAAGTGAAAGATTTCAATCCATTGCAACGTTTTTGTCCGGTTCTCAGGAATTTCTCTTGCTTTTGCCATCTTTTTTCTGTTATTATCTGTTTTCTGTTTTTTGTATTCCTATTTGCATCTTTTTTTCTTCTCTGAATTTCTATAAACCTTCACTATATGGGGGACGAGTGGTGTAGTGGTATGAGGCGCCGTTATGACCAGATCGGACACAGGTTCGATCCCCGCCCCTGGGCCAACCAAACCCTCTACCCTCCGGGGCCGGTAAATTGGTACCAGAGTAATCTGGGAGGATAAAAGCACTGACTTGGAAACGGCTGGCCCCCGCAAGTCACTGTAATAGGCCCGCACGCATACAATTCCCTCTTCGACTATGAAGTTAGTGTGTGCGTTCGGCGCATGCCCTTAGAGGGTATTGAAGACGCCGAATCCATTATCCTTTATCACTATTTAGGGGGGGAGGCAGATATTCAAACAACCTTCACTTTTGACGTCTCGCCTCTAGACTATCGGACAAAAGCTACAAAGATCTCTTACAAATCTATGTTTCATGAGATGTGGCCTACATTTAAAAAAAGGGACGTTATTCATGGGACGATTCAATATTATGTGTCTAAAGTCAATGAAAACTTGCAGACGTATTTTCAGTAAGAAGCCCGATCTTACCATTGTCAACCTTACAAGTACACAACACATTTTGTAGTACAGCTACCTTCTTTGATTTGCATGCGCATATAGGATGCTGCGCGACGAAGGCGCAATTTTTTTGGGCGCGAACGCGGCTTTATTAGCAGCAGAGCGCTTGAGGCGCAAGGTTTATAACGTTGAAGATACGCGCGCACCGCGTTCACGCCCTCTCAACTAATACTGCTTCTGCGCCTTCGTCATGCAGTAGTCTTTACTTCCTACTTTTGAGTTTTGGAACTGCAAAACAATAATAAACTACTGTTTGTTAGTATGCCGAACTCAGGTTTATAAGGTGGTGTCTTTATTCGACCTTACGTTTTGACACAGTCTTCTTCTTCGGAAGTCTAAAATGATTGCAGTTTGAATCTGTGAGGTTTCTCCTACGACCTACAAAGACATCTACCGTGCGCTTCTTCTTTTCCGCTTTACACTGATTCCCTTACGGCCCCGTCCCCAACCCCTCCCCGTCTCCCTATCTCGCTCCACTACTCTGACTTGCTCGTACGCTCCGGTCCCGTTGATTGTTCTGCCTTTTTGTTACCAGGAACAATTTCTAACCTGACTTTATATGAAAATGGGGCTAACAGTGCCTGTAACTGCAGTACAATTATCGATAATGGTCAATTTGTATGTTGGTGGACATTATTCAGAAAAAATAAACAACTTGTTAAGCACGAACTAGACTATGACTGCAATAAATCTGTAGGAAATCATATAGATAAAATCTATCAAAATTTGTGCCAAGAATTTTTTTCCGAGGAACTGGAATATCACCCTCAAATATCATTGACAGACTTTGAATCGTCGTAATTGACATTTATTTCTGATAATGCAGCTATTTATTGTTTGCTATGAACGTAGACCATCTATAATTTGATTAGATTTCCTCGAAGCAAAAGTGCACTATCATTGGAATGATGTATTATATGAAAAAATGCGGGAACGATTCTGCGACAAGATTTCCTTCCTAAACCGGTCAGATTGAGAAGCTAAGCTGACAGGGGAAACATGCCATCGAAAATATGCACTTATCTCGTTGCAAACGTTTCATCATGTTGTAAAATTTCTAATATGATATCGCTTTCTGCGATTTAGATTCGAAGAAAAAATGAGAAATTTATGGGAGATCTGTGAAGATTCTGGTGCTTTACACATATTAATTTGGTTTGGAATGATCCATAGGAAGTTTCATTAATCACTGGAATCTACTATCATTTTTGCGACGCTTTTTGCAGTCGAGTTTGCTTATGTGTGCAATTGCACATTTTTCAAGATTGATGTGGACGCAAGTCTCCTAACATGTGTTGCTGAACGACTCTATAAACTCTCATAAGTTTTCGTAATAAAATTCCAAAGACGAAAAACAGTTTGAAAATAGAATAAATAGAAAAAAGAATAGTTTTGACTTATGATCACCCCTTCTGAAAATTGTGCAATTGTACACATATAATAAATCCTCGGGAGTAGGTTGTGCTTGTCAAAAAGGAGTAGCATGAAATATCCTCGGCTGCTATTGAGAAATCAGATTTATCACTATTTTTGAGAAAATTGCAATACCTCCTTTGCATCTCGATAAGTTCGAACTTGCTGTCAAAATTTAGTTCATCTAGTGCAAATGCACTGAATGTGATTCCGAATACTTGCCTTTGAATGAAATTTTAAACCAGTGGCTCAAAACTGTGCCGGTGAAATGCAACTACATGCATAATTGTTTGTTGTGCAAATGCAGCAAATGAACAAGAATTCAACAGCAAGTGTATCTGAGTTGAGCAAACTGTGTAAAAATTCACTCTACAAAGAACTTACTCTAAACTGCTGCTCAAAGATTCGTGGACCTTCTTGGTAGGGTTTCTGTGGTGCAGGAATCTGCTGCACTTGTTGGACTTGTTGGACTTGTTGGACTTGCTAGAAAAAATAACCATAACTGAATCCCTTACAATTCTGCGTTTAAAAACGCTGATACTAAATAAGCCACTAAATTTACCTGCACTGGTTGCGGTTGCGGTGGTGGCGGAGGTTGTTGGAAGACCTGTGGTTGAGATTGAAATTGAGGTTGGGGTGGAGAGATGTTTCGCAGCTGGTATTGTTGTGGTTGTTGTACGAATTGTGGAACCTGAATATTTTAGTGAAATTTTTTGCCCATTGTTCTATGAACCTAAGTAAAATATGACCAACTTGGAGATCTTGGGTCATGAACTGTTGCGGTGGTTGTGGGACTTGTTGTTGGAATTGAGGCAGTGGAAACCGTTGCTGCTGTTGTGGAAACATAAATGGTCCTTGTTGTTGATAGTTCTGAAGAGAAAGCAGATATTGAAAAACAAAAAACAATTAGTCTAATTTACAGGCAGGAAACCGTCATAAACCCTCACTCTTTTTCATTATCCAAAAATGTTCGATTATGATTGCGCAATTAGATATCAATGAGTTTCTGAATGCCTTCTGTTTCAGAAATGACTCAAGGGAAAATATAATACATGGTGTTACTTTGAGAAATCTCAGTTGTTTTTAAAGCGGTGAAGAAACTTTTTCTGTCAGCCGTCGGCAGGTGACTTTCATTTTTTAGTGTTGGACAGAGCGGGACGAGACATCCCTCAACCGAAAAAAAATTTCAAAATTTTCCCATAAGAAGTTTTGCGAACTCTCTGGCTTATTATGGAGAACCTCAGCTTCAAGGATTGAAACAACGCTTCATTTTTGAAGTATTCGAATGAAAAACGACCAAAATCCTTTTGCAAAACATATTTGCCCTCCAAGGAGCTTTACAACTTCCCACCCCCCCCCCCCCCCCCTCCCCCATACATCTTCTCCTTTCTACACTGATACGGCTTATTTGAGTTGCAAAAAAACCAATTTTGCTGACCTAATAAGCCAAGCGGTTGTAACACCCGGTAGAAAAGGGGTTTATATGAAAAACCAATTCCACGATATGGATAGACATACGAAATCTACTCTTTTTCAACTAGGTGATTTCTCTCGAATTTTATGAGGGTCATAAAACACGACAATGTTTTATTTACGACTATCTGCCCTAGATTTTGAGATTTGCAGAAGTGCAGCGGATGAGGATTTTTACAGTCTTTCATTTATCATGTAAAAATGTGAAGACAAATTTATCATTGGATGCAGCACTCAAAAAATATGATATTCATTTCTTCGTAAAATTTGAACTCGCCTGGACCGGTTGTTGAGGTAGGAACTGAGGTTGAGATTGGAAAGATTGTTGCTGATCAAACTGTCGCCATTGTGAAGGATATTGCTGTGGTGGTGCAAACTGCTGTGGTGGATAGAACTGTTGACCCGCTTGATGATAGAACTGCCCGTCCACAGCAGCTAGTGCTAAATATTTTCATTTTTGAGAGAGCTTCGAGAAAAAATCATATTCTGCTTGTTAGAAAAATCTTTTAACACATTTGGGCCATGCTGCACATGGTGCATCACATCGTGCTGCACCATGTGCATCATGATGATGATTCATCATGTGCAGCACGCCCTCAGAATGAACCAAATGCGCCAAAACGAGGCGCTTATGTGCAGCATGAGTTGGCAAAATTTACTCTCGATAAAAAATTTCGAATTTGGTAAACATTGTGGTAAATTTGAACAAGATAAGATAGATGAAAGCCTTAGCAACGATCGTGCGCGATATATCGTTTCGATCAAACGAGTTCTTTGCCGTGTGCAACAAACAGTAAACGGTGAGAAAACTAGTCGTCCAATATGTAGAGACAGTTTCCAGCGGAATGTAAGCCGTATTAACGCAATTAGCACTAAAGTTGAGCAGTTCCGCGTTATATCTGTTATCACTTTCTGTCAGGATTCGATTCGTTTTGGTGCAGTTACACAATCTAGCGTGTGCTTGAAGTAAATCGATAAGTTATATCTTCGTCAGCTGCATACATCAACATGTAGCTAGCTGAATGCTCCTATAGACAAAAAATTTTGAAAAATTTAAAAGCGTGTAAGTGCATTAACATTGAAGTAAAAACAGTGAAATTTTATCGGGTCTTTTTTGGAAGTTCGTCAACATATACTTCTCTATATCTGTTTTTTACAGACAAAACAAAAAAGTAGTATGTCGTCAATTTTTTGAAGAACACTAAACAAAATGGTTTTCTTTTTTTCTGTAATGAGCTTAAACGTTGTATTAGATGGAATTTTGCTTGTTTTACGAAAAATATATACACTTCTATTAAAAGTATCTCTTAGGCTATTTAATCCACTATTTTATTATCATTTTGAGTCAACTTCTGGGACAAAAAAACAAAATATAGCATTAAAAGTCGGAGAGCCCTCTGCTTTAAATCTATATGTATAAAAGCCAAGAATTCAAAACCTTATGTTTGAAAATTTTGACACCTAGTGAGACGGATATTTTTGAAAGGCGAGCTTTCTGCTTTCCAAGCACTCTTGGTTCCAATCAAACCTGTAGGATTTCGAGCGAGAATATGAGCGATTAGGTAGCATGTAGTAGCCAAATCTTACGGATTAGCTTCTCGTGTGACTTGTACGGGAGAAAAGAGACTGTACGTGAAAAAAAATGGAAATTTACTTCAAGCTCATTTTGCTTTGGAGACTTCGGGGGAAAAAGCATTATGGGGAAGATATATCTTTTTTCAACATTTTTTCTGCCAAATCAGTGCGCAAAATTTCCAATTCTATATTTTTCACTATCGAAATAATGTGAAGTGGTTGGAAATTCAACCTGAGAAGTTCTAGAAATTGAAAGTTCTTCTATGTTGAAGAACGAACGGAAAATTGAAAAACTATCAAATTTTTATACTGGGATATTTCTTCTCTCAAAAAGTAGACCATTTACGAGGCACAGTGGAACAGAAACAACGAAACTGATGATCTTGGAGTTTACCTTCAATATTCATAAGCGCTAGTATTTACCTATGTAAGGAAGAGACAAATTTTTATAAATGTGGGAGATCCCTACAAGATAGAGGAGTATTGTAAGTCTTCCAAAGCCCACAGGAGAAAAGAAGATCATAAAAAACATCTAGAGCTTACCTGCGAGACAGGGAATAAAGGTGGTTAGTTGCATCGGATGATGCCGTGCGAGTGTTTCGCACCCGGTTCGGCTAATGGGCGTGTCGGGGCGTCGTCGGGCGCGCGCGATGACAGTGGGCTCGAAAACGAGAACGCACAGCGCCCCCTAAGGGCCTTTATCTGAAACAACGCAGCAGAAAAGTGAAAAGCACTTGAGAACAGTTTGACGATGTGTGTCAAAACACATTGCGATCACTCGTACAATGACATAACTCGTAAAAGGCGCCGTCGATGAGTTTCGTTCGACGAAATCTCGATTCGCGGCTTTTTTGCCTTCGGCGAAACCCGCTTAGATGATCGGCCGCTGCTGTCGCAGTGATAGGCGAGCTAGCTGTCGCCGCGTGCTTCTGTATTAGCTATACTTTTTCCGTTTTTGTATACTAAATGAGCGAAAAATTACGTAATTTGCTCTCACACTCACTTGAAACCCTATCTTGTAACGTAAAGCAGAAATTTAGGAGAGGGGGAAAAGAGGGATGGGGGGAGGGAGGGAGGGAGATGTGCATATAGAGTGCGAATAAATTTCACAGGGGTCTCCACACTTTCCCGCATTGCAATCACAAACCCTATAATGATTCAAAAAGCTTGCTTACAGTACGACAAGAGTAAAGACCCCCCAGACCCCCCCCCCCCTCCCTCGAGAAAGGGTCGCAAATTTTTTTAAAGTCACTTACATGAGTTACAAAATTGTGCATGTGACTTCTCATTGCTTGTAAATGACTAAAATGATTTTTAGAATCCTCAAAAATCCTAATCAACTTTGTGAATATTTATTTTGAGGAATGGCTGAACTCTGACGGCCCTTCCTTTTTCTTAGATTTCTAGATCATGGACCTGCAAAAATGTTCGCAAGCAACCCAAACATTTTGAATTGCGGGATAAACCACGCATCTTCAATTGAAACATTTTTTTGTTGTCCCACTTTCTCGAACGGAAGTTCTGAAATCGCCATTGGCTTGCAGGTAGCCTCGCAACTCAATTTGTGCAGCTGCACACAATGCGCAATGCATAACTTCCGTGTTGGGAGCATATTTTCACTGTATCCCATGTAATATTCACTATAAATTACTAAGTTTGCTTAGTCCGGGCAGACTTGAGGTTTTCGCAACTCAATATGTGCGACTGCACACAACATTTTATGGCGCTTTAATGGTATGCATGATATTTAGACTGCTTTTTGATTGCCTTTTTTCAGATTTGCTATTCAAGGGAAATTCTCAGCCGAGTTTTAAAAAAAAATTTGTGTGTGCGAATGATAATACACGCAACTTACGCGTGAATTTCGTAACTCTGAATATCATGTAATTTAATTTATTTATTTTATTTTATTTACAAGATAAACACCCAACTAACTTACATGGGAGATCCCATACTTACAATTGCGTCATCGTGATAGTTTGTGCGATTGCACACATCATCGTGCGTATATAGGCTGTTACTAACACAAAGAGATACGTACTTGATTATGCTTTTCAAGCATTTTTTTGGTTTTTTGTTCTCGGAGACAACATGCGCGATGGTGGTAAAGATGTTCGAAATATGCAGAACGGCCGATGAAAGCCAGGAATTACGTGCAATAAAAACTGTGTATGCATACTGTCCAATTGAGGTTTTGAATGATTTTGTATATACCCTTCGATTCAACTGGTTTGTCAGGTGGAAGGCGGAGCTTCGTGACCTAATTAAGGCCAAGCTAGGTAACAATCACAGAGCATGCGCGCAGGAGAGACGCACACTGCGTCGCATGCGCGAGCGGCCTTAATTAGGTCACCAAGTTCCGCCTTCCAGCTGCCAAGCCAGTTGGATTAAAAGTTATGTGGTTTACTTCGCGAACCTGATGATGTGAAATCTCGACAATTTGAAAAATGGAATATTTTTGCCTCCCATCCGCACTGCAAGAAAATTTCGATAATTTGTTAGGATGACTGAGTAGACCCCATCATAAAGAATAGATCTTCGTTTACCGTTTACGGCTGCAGAATTTTTATGGTTAAATGTCTGCAACTCGACAATGGCTCAGACCGTAATGAGACCAGTTTTACTGCAGAAAAGCGATCCTTTAGCAGATTACCTTGTTTTTTGCTTGCGTCCTTTTACACGGTTATTGGTTTCAGCGCGCTATTGTAGTAAGAGAAAGCGATGCATTCCCTCATCAGCTTTAATGTGTGACATAGCTTTTCACGGAAACGTCGTTAACTCAACTTTTCCCTTATGAGGTCGGTACAATTCTGCTGCAATTCTGCAGAAAAATGCAAATTTCCACATTTAGCTTGTTGAAACATTTACGAACGTACTACTACATCCCATTGGGATACTGTAAGCAAACGGTAGTGTGTAAGTTTGCTCGGAATAATCTGAAACCTTTCAGTAACAGACGATTCATCAATCAAAAGGTGTATCTCAGCGCATTAACCATATATGTTCTTTTCCACTCTTCGAGACTCATACCTAAATACCAGTGGCGTACCGAGGGGGGGGGGGGGAGGGGGGCGCCCCCCCCCCCCCTCCCCAAGAATGGGTAGCGAAATTTTTGAAAGTTATTAGGTTGTTGCAAAAATAATGTCCGTTTTGCAAATTTTCACTTTGGAAGGCTATAACTTCGTTCACTCTCCATAATTTTAAATGCATTCAAGACCATCAGAAACATCAAACCTTTCTTAACTTAGCGCGCCCCTGCCCATACTGATATCGCAAACGGGAAGAAAACCATGCGTCAGAAAACTGAAAGTTTTTCTCTTGAAAACCTCGTCTTCAAGAGCTTACAACTCCCTTCAAGCTTTGTACCTATGTCTCTGCTAATTAGTTTTTTTTGTAGCCGCAGGCCAATAGTATAGGTGTGTATAGAAAAAACTCCAACGAAGGAGTTCTGCGAAAAGAAAAGATAAAAATTCAAAATTGTTCACTCTTTTGAGCCTATTTGTTGTAGGCTTGTAAGTGCCTAATTATGAAAATTTGAAATTCTTCGCGCACTGAATAGCTAAGTTTCCCTTCAAATAATATATTAGGTTGGCACGAAAGTTCTTGCGTAATTCTAAAATTCAATAACTTTTCAAAGACCAAACCTAAATTTACGATCTTGTATGCTAAAAATATTAGAAGCCTTACGCTTCATGATGGAACTTCAAGCACAACATTGCATGAGCTAACCATCGAGAACGAAGCTCTCAAATATGGGGCTTCATATTTTGCGATTTTGAGTTTGGTGGCAGAAAATCGCAGAGGGCCGCTAGCTAGCCGAAAAAAATCTGTAGAATTGACTTACACAACTAAAGTACATATGTTATTTTAGCAGGCTTTGATCTCGCATGGAAACGCGAAAACAAAAAATTTGTGAAAATTCTCATTTCACAGGACAAATCCCCTTATCGCTCTAATTTTTCTACAGAAACACAGTTTACATCCAGAAATTAGACATAGTGCCTATTT